TGTTGGTGGGGGTGGCTATGAAACTTGAAATAATGGTAGTAGGGAGGAATGTTTTCCCTGAATCCTGTGAAAGGCTAGGGCAGATTCAGACATTGCTTACAGGCTTTACCAGTTGGAAGGACAGTGTGCTCATCCTTCTGTTTGGTAAGCCATCTAACCTGTTCCTCTGAACTCTGTGGGGTGGGGTAAATGCCTGCTAAGTACTGAAATTTTACTATGGCTTCATTTGCACTGATTACCGGTGAGATGGGGTAGAGCTGATCTGAACAACAGCACAAGGGAGACTTTCAGGGTGAGGCACTGGTCACTTGACATGATCAGTTGGGGCAGGGACAATTCCCAGAGGGAATGGTTGAAGCTTTGGCTTTGAGCAGGTCTTCAGGAGTAGTAGTAGGCAAACCACAGCTGCATGGCCTGCAGCTGACCCAGTCTGAGACATTGCTCTTTTAGTACTGCCTCTGACTGTACACACCTGGCCATCTACAACTTGCATTTCAGATGGGAAGAAAGTTGTTTCAGTTAGTGAGTAGACAGGAGGTATTTGTTTAAGGATTATTGCATCCATGTCACCTGGTGTCACACTGAAATCTGTTCACTGCGCTCTCATGTGCTTTTCTACAATTAAAGGGGAGGAGGGGAAAGGCTGTAAAATGTTCAGCACTTAGGATATAAGTTATTCTAAAGCCCTTACCAAAACAAAGCAAAAACAAGAGTCCATTGAGTTTTGAGCTTTGATGTTGGTGAAGTTATGCTTCTGTGGATGGTCATGACTGCCACTGCTTTTACAAGCAAAAGTTAACAGCAGGCTATTGCTAGGATTTAAAAACATACTTGCACTGGTGATAGTACAAGTAATGTAGGTTACATGCAGTCAGGAATGGCCATGAGGATGTGGCAAGGCTCTCTAGGACAAAAAGGTTTGAATGTTAGAAGGAGGTCGGTGAGCAAGTCTTCTAATTAAGGGGGTTTTGTTTTGTTTGGTGAGTAAGATGGAAGAATGTCCTATATTGCAAATTACTTAGAGCAGACTGAGCGTGAGCCTGCACTAGCTAGGAAGCTGCCCATGTGCTAGATGTTTAAGTGTGTCAGAAGAGGGAAATGATGTAATGGGAAACTGGGGACAGGGAGCTGTGCTATATTAAGACAAATACAGTCACTTTCCAATCCAAACAGAAATTCTCTGGAGTTTGACATCTTAAACTACTTAATTATCCCATCTATCCAGTGAGTGCTGGTTCCTTGCGTTCAAGAGCTTCCCGATCTGTCAGGAACGTTTTCCCTTTGATTAGCATGAAGAGCTGTGTGAGGTGCTTGGCAGAGTGGGTGAGCTTCTCCCCGACGCTACTGTCAGTGGTGGCTGGGTTTGGGGGCTTTATTGCTTCCCTTTCATTCCTTTTATCCTTCCCCCATACCCCAGCAGCGGACCGCAGCTCACTCCCTGCCGGATTAGCGGCTCCGCTTGCCTGCCCCCTGCTGGATGTCATCTGGTACCGCGGCAGCTCCCTGCTCCCCTGAAGCACAACCTGGGAAAAGAACCTGATCCTTGATTATTCCCGATCGTCCGCTGAGATGCTGTCTGCTTGCTGTACTGTTTTGCTGTCAAGCTGTCCTCCCACTGGTGTCCTCAGGAGGGCAGAGAGAGAGAAAAGCTGTTACAGATAATGCTTTTCTCATGTTCCATGACAATACATCTTTATTCCTTAACAGGTTGTGAAGTTTACCTTCCATAGGGAGCAATACATCATCTGTGTTCTCCAAGCCTAAGATCATCTCTACACTCAGAACACACACTTGAGGGAGTGGGTCTTTCAGAATGCTTCCAGTCTAGTTGAACTGATATTTCACAGGCCTCATTGCTTCTATACAGAAAGACAAGGAGTTCTGCCTCAGGGCTGCTACAGGACTTTGGAGGCAGCTGCAGCATTGCTGATGTCCAACCCCTGCTGCGATCGTTTAAGGAAACAAATTGAAAGAGTGGAGGGGGAAAAGTAGAAATGGAGATCTTCCCTTCCTACAGCTCTCTGCATGCCTATGGTGGTTGCAGCACTCTTATGAGAAGGGAGAAATTTTGTCCCTTTCCCCTGGTATTAAATTGATCAAAACCTGGGTTATTGTTCTAACCTGTAGTGAGCACACTATATTCTGAAGTGAATAGGTATGCCCCAAGCTCCTGGCTGTAAGCCTGACTTCGTCTATCCCAAATGAAGCTTCCATGAATAAGAGGCTGTTCTGCCCTGTAAATATCTAAAAGGTCAAGATCCACAAAAGCACAACAGAAGATGCTTAAGTGGCTTTGGGTCTCTCTTGTTCATGCAGCCATTGCACAGCAACTCGGAGTTTTGAATGCACATGCTTAGACCTTGAACGGAACAGCAACTTGGGAACTGGAACTGCAACCCATTTCCAGAGTATTTAAACTCTGCAGGAAGTCCAGGGTTTGTGGGTTTGTTGTTTCGGGTTTTTTTTAAATCAACCCTCTGACACTTCAAAGTTCTCCTCTCATATAAAACCTTAAACAAGTCTTGATTGTTCAGACAACCTTCACACCTCATTTTTGTCTGAACCCAGAAATTGACTGCTCTCATCTATGGACTTTCGGAAGCTCTGACAATGCGTAAGACATGCTGACTGCCCTGTGATGCTAACTCTGTGCAACGGGCACCACTGGTTTTGTTTCAAAGCATGGCTCAAGATTTCCAACACCATTTCACAATTCAGTTGTGTTGCTAAAGAAATCACTGGGGCTGAGGAGAGGTTTTTCTGTGTGTGTGAACCACTGTCGTCATCTTCAAAAAGGAAGGCTCCAAAGGCAGGGAGCACCTTAATGCCATCTCCAAGAAGTCTTGAGTGCAGCCTCTCAAGGCCTTAAATTCACTTCTTACAACTGCCCCCAGGCAGAGGATATTAAAACCACACCTTCAGTGTCCTGGATAGGTACTTTAACCTATGAACTGTGCCTGGAGCACAACTCGGTGAGATCTGTGAGTGATCTCCTGCACTGATATAGAATGTTATTGTTGGGGTTGGACTGTTGGGGAACAAAATGGATGTTCTAAAGGTTGAACACCTAAAGGAGTCGAAGACCTAATGCACAGTTCTACGTTCCACAGCAGGTGGCTTAAAAATTAGATTGTCATTGCAGGTATTCCAACTGAGTTTAAAGAAATGCAAACGCACTTCACCCAGTAACTCCTCTATGAGACAGCTCCTGTGAAGATAAAAGCACTTTTTATTTGAAAACCGGTTGGGATAGTTTTTAACATTGGCCAAAAAAACCCTAAGTGCTACAAGAGCAATTTGTGGCTGAGGAAATTCTCAGGTCGTTGTTCCAGAGTAGCAGTTGGAATGCTGAAACAAGGGAAGTATTTTCATTCACAGCAAAAGCTTTGTGAAGAGCTTCCAGCTAAACAAGTACAACACAGCACTTCAGCCTTTCGGACAACTGTGTAATATCCTTGCAGATGTGGCAGACTTTGCAGGTTCCATCTGCTCGCTGCAACAACACACTGTTGTTAGTACCTGCTGCCTCCTCATACTTCTTTGCGTGGCAACCCCTTGAGCAAGGGCTTGCTTCTGAGAGTTCAGTACAGACTCCACAAAAAAAACCCCAAACAGCACTCCCCATCCAAAAGCTGAAGAATGACCATCTCTATGGCAACTAGAGCACTCTGCATGCTTGTGCCCAACATAAACTGGCACTGTTTTACAAATGAAGTCAGTGGAATTAGGGTGCAAGTAATTAGAGAAAAGTAACTAGAAACTGTAGAGTATTACAGATGTAATACTCAAACCTGTGTCTGTTACCAATCTTCATTGCACAGAGAAAGACAGTGCAGACACAGCAATGCATCACAGTGATGGGGGTGGGAAAAGCAACACAAATGGCTGGCTGCAGTTGTGTTGCACTGTGGTGCTAAAGTTGTTGGGTCTGTCACCCATCAAAGCTAACATTAAGTGTAGTGTTGGGTAAGAAGGGGAAGAAAAGGAAGTGACACCATCATCTCTTGTGTGACTTCACGCTCATGTTATGTGGTTACCTACAGCTGAGCTAGCCAACTGCTGTCACAAGGAGAAAGTTGTGCTGCATCGTCCCTCATGGTAGCTGGTTTTGGTTCTTGGCCCAGTATTGGAAAATCAACCCCCCTCAAGACCCAGAGAAGAGTTCTATTTATTTTGCTGTAGTGTATGTTCTGACTGACTTAAACCCCTCTTTATTTAACTCCAGAAGACAGCACTGCCAGGAACAGTTCCATACAACTACACGTAAGATGTAGTCCCTTCCTGCAAATGCAGCCAGCAGCATTTAATCCGGTTACTCACACTACGATGTAAGCCTGAACTCCCACACAATCAAAGCAGTATATTAGGCACAAAGCAACACAGCTTCCCTGAACTTTATCAAGTAATGGAGTGTCTTCCAGAAGACTGTCACCAAATACGACTGCTATGCAGGTTTAGTGTCTATACTCTTTACAGGATTATTACTTCATTTATGGTCCCTAAGTTATGTACCACAGTGGAGCACTAGTTTTTTAACGTGCTTATTCCATGAAGCAGCTTTGAATTCCATAGTTTATTTATAATTGTAAAAGCATAGATGTTACATATATCAAGTAATTGCATATTTGTTAGAATCGTACTCAGAAGATCAGTCATGCTTAGATTCCCCACTTCAGTACGTTTTCTATAGAAACAGTGTGAGGAAATAAAGATGTTATAGCTAGAGTTACTGAAGTGTAGTCTGAAGACAGTTTGACAAGATCAGACAGGCGCTTCAGAACTAGTGAAGGTAGATATCTGCTTGGTATTTAAAAGGGCAAAGCCTGGACTAGATAAGAGTTACAGCGGGCGACCACAACAAAGCCTATTTGTTCATTTGTACTTATAGCTTGTTATGAGCAAGAGAATTGGTGTCAACTTTATCACATCATTCCAGAGGGTATCAGTGGGGTACATTACACACACATTTTAAAAAAACCAACACAGATTATGTATGTATATACATTTTTTAAATAAGGCAGGTATTTATTTCAAGCTCTTAAATCACTTTTCCAGCCCCTTTTCCTTTTAATATAGCGTATGTTGCCATTTTATTGCTAAGGAAAGCATACCTTCATTGCAAGCAGAACAGCATCAGCACTGGCTTCAGTTAGCAGCCCAGTCAAGTTAATAAGGTTCAAGACATACATTATTACTATGGAAGAATATTACTGTCACAGAAATACAGAGTACTAGTTGAATTCTACTTAGATTGTACCAAGTCATTCTCTTGAAATAGTCTGTAGTTAACAGTATACACTAAAAAGCCAAACAGCACCATTTTGGAGCAACAGAAAGGGATACCTAAAATACTACTTCCCCATCTCTGACTAAGTTGTTATATATTAAAAAAAAAAAATACACATGGGAAGGATGAGGACACAACAGACCTCATCTGCTGCTCTGTCAATGCTTTCTCTGTAAGAAAGGATGCACAACTTCCATGCTCCCCCTAGTGTAAATCCTAATATGAATGAATATGCACGCCATTCTCTTTGCATAACTAATGGCAGTTACTTGTTGGGATGACTTACAAGGTGCACTCTCGAAGTTTTTTGTCAGCCTGCTTCAAGGAGATCCAGGTGTTTAACATGTTGGATCGCAGTTTGGCCCACACCAAATGGTTGTTTAAGCCAAATATCTGGGCAGCAAACTGGGCAGCTCCTTCAGGTGACAGAGTAGTAGGACAGCCAAGACCTGCAGAGAAGAGAGCGATGCTTACCTGAACATAATCTATAGTCAAACAAAAACCACCTCTGAAGCACAATTTAAGGCAGTGTTTGGTTCAGCCTCCAGGAACTGCATGATCTAGTTTTAAAGCTAGTCAAGTGTCATGCTTTCCACTATTACTACTACTGCTACTAACACAAATGCTTCATGGCATTTTAAACCAAAAGCCAGCATACCTAATGACTCTCCTTATACACAGGTAACAGACTTCTGGGCCTCCTAGTTGCCAAGAATCCATTCAAGTCAGTAGCAAAGTTAAAAATCATATAGGTAGCAATGCACTGACATAGTTAAGCTGTTACCTACACGGACTGTGGAGAAAGGTGGTTTTTGATCTTTGATAATAATGAAAATGCAGCCCTATAACTGAACAAAATTCAGACTTTTAAATCCCCATTAACACTAATTCCAACGTGTAGCAAGGGTAAGACAAGGTTCATACTTTTCTAAAGATTATCCCTATGTCATCTTCGTATACTAGAAGAACAGCACAGATAGAGCTAGGTCAGAACAAGAGTGTAAGCTGAAGACCATCTTACCACTGGGTAGTCTGAGAGACGACCACACATCCTGAGTACCCCAGTCAGCTGAGAGCGGAGGACAGTTGACAACGGGGTAAGCAGTGTTACCAGACATTACTGGTCCCAAACCGTTGCTTCTGCCAGCTACTGCAACAAACACTGTTGGGATTCCATCTCCTGGGGGCAGGAAGGCATTCAAAATTAAGCAATGCACCTTGTTCTCTGCATAAAGTGGAAGCTTTATCCAAGTCCACAATTTTGTTTGCAGTTATTCTGTCAATTCCATTACACAGCATTAGAATTTTGTTTGACTTTTCCCTTCACAGAAACACCACCTAAATCTTGCAGCCCGAAATCCCAGCTACTGCCTACCACAGCTGGAGTTAGCATTCTTACTCTGCCTCTGAGGAAAAGTCTCAATATCAGAGGAATAGGTGCTGCTTAGCTTTGTAGAGACTACAGCCGTTAAACCTCTGGCACTGATAAGTGTTCTTCTCCTTAAATCTTGCACGCTTCATCTCAAAATAAGTGCTTCTCCGCTATGGTTACAGCATCTGTAGCTTCACTGAGTAGAAAGTATCCTCCCACAAAAATAAAGAGTTCTCTCTCCTCCCTGCTAGGCAATAAACACTCCCGAAGAGATACCAGGCTTTCATGCTAAAGGCAAGAACTTAAATCAAGTATGTTTCTCATGGCATCCAAAATAACAAGCAGGAACATTTTCATGAAACAGGCAGAAGAGTATGAGGGGAGCAACATCTGCCTTGCAAATTACACATAAGAGTATTCACAGTCAGCTGGAGAATTATCACTCCTCACTGTTTCAGAAGGACTGGCATCACTAGCAAGATGCCACAATTGTATTAACATGATCAAGTATCAGGCAAAGTAGTTCTGGTACTGGGACAAAAGCAGATATTAAGACTTTGAGTAATGGAAGTTGTGGTTGGGCAGCAGGACAGTATGTTACTCCATAGTTGCTTAGTGCACTCTATAACCTGTCATTATGTAATTAGCAAGCGCAGAGCGGCATTGTAACAGCTTGGTGTAGCGTGTTACAAAGACATGGGAAAATCCCCCACAAATGCTCAAGTTGCCAACTTGTTCTTGAACATAACACCATTTCACTCCAAAATCAGTAGTTCTGCCACTTACCTTCGTATTCGGCTTTGATCCTCAGGGTTTCATCCGGCCCTTTGTGAGCAGAGGTCACTCTTAACTCACATGGAATTCCAAAGGTTGCACATGCCTTTTTTATCTTTTCACAGTGACTGAGGTCAGAGGGAGATCCCATCAGCACCACAACTCTACCTTGGCTCTTTGTTTTCAGAAGCAACTAGGGAAAAGAGTGAAGCAGGACAAGAAAAAGAAAAGCAGTGAACAGGCTTGAAGACATGAAGTTACCAAAGTCTAGATATATTGTTCATAAAAATGGGTACCTCCACTCTTTCTGCAACCCATTCAAAGTTTCTCTTAACCATTTGCAGTGCTTCAGGAGTCACTTCTTTCAGGTCACGGTAGGACTGAAAACAGGAAAAAAAAAACAAAACAAAAAAAAAACCCAACCCAAACCCTTCAGGTTAATGTGTTTTCAATACACAAAACACTCATTTTACTACCAGAGTTGATAAGAACACCCCAACTGACGTATTTATTGTAGTGCCTAGCAGTTCCACAGGAATGAGAACAGAGAGTGGTACAGATACAGGAAAAAACAGATATGGAAGTAAGGAACAGCTATTTAATGAAGAACCATTCCAGTAGGCGTAAACTCCCTTCCACATAACAATCCATGGCCATTTGAAACCTGAAAGGTTTTTAGCCACAACGGTATTAAGGTTTTGGAAGCATCCTGAAAGCTAAGTTTAGGGAGACATATAGCCCTTTTAAAACTAGATATGTACTGACATGCTTGCCCGCAATAGCACTGCATTAGGCAGCCCAGGTTCTGCATGATGTTATCGGGTACCTTGTTTTAGGGAGACGAGTGAAGGTATTGTCAGAGCAATTCATTCAAGCATGCAACTACATAATTCAGGTAAAATAAACAACAAAGCAGTTCTGCTTCCTAATTTAAAAGTAATACCCCTCCTCCCACACAACATATCATTTAAAGTCTTCCCCAGTGGCTTACAGCCACTTTCTCTACAGAGTCTCCATTACTAATCTCAACAATTGCTGCAGAAGCAGGAGCATTCACAAACCAGTTCTTTCACAAGTACTTATCTGGTAATTCAGAAAGAGTTGACAAGTGTAATGGCAACAAGTCTAAATACAGGACACGCTTTATTTCAAACTTATGTTTGCAGCCTTCTTATGTGGACACAATCTGTTAGTAACACTTGGAGACATTGAATATTGAATTCAAGCTTAACCAAAATAAATCATGAAGAAAACCCTCCTGCAGATCCCTCTTACATATTGCCAGATCTCTACTAGTATAGGACACCACTCTGGATAAACAGGAACTTGGAGCCAGAGCTGGGAACTAAAGCTTCTATTCCTTTTACCAATCTGTTGTCCAACTATTTTATCATCTGCAAAACTGGTGAGAAATTCTGATTACTCCTGGAAACAATAGCTCCAATCAGTACTGCTGTTGAGCATTCCTACCGAAGATATATAGGCAGAGGATTTTTTCCTACCATAAGCCACGTAATAAACTATTTAATGAAAACAGGATTGGCAGGAGGTACCCTACGATAATCTTATCTAGAAAAAGCCACTCTGAAAGCAAGTGTTTAACTGTAGGATTTGCTTTTTTCATTCTCCTTCCCAACCAACTTAGAAGATAAAAATTAACACACTACCTGTTTGTCCTTCTGCTGGCTTCTGTCTCCTGATGGCCACAGCCTCCATGAATCATTATCAATAACATCAGCAAGAACGATTTCTTTTGTCAGAACATTAACACCAAATTCAATCTAAAAAGACAGGAAGAATCCTACTTTAGGAACCATACAGTGATATATTTCCTGTCAGAACCAGGACTGTGAGAAATCAGATTCTTGTACCTTCAGGTCTACGAGAGTGCAGTTTTGAGGCTGCCATGATTTTTCCAAGATCTCAAAAATAGCTTGAGTAGAACGAGCCATGATATCCACTTCAGTCTGGCCAATAGTAAGTCCAGCAAAACAGAATTTTGCTTCAATTATCTGCTCTTCAGACCACTGTGGGTCATTAGCAGCATCATCCTGTTAAGAAAGCAAACATATACATCATGTAATTTAAGCTTGCAATAAGTAGGAAAATTACTATGAGAAGACAACATATTTTGTTTTTCAACAACAAAAAATACAGACTTTAAACTAGTCTTTTTTTATGAGTAGCACTAAAAAAAAAGGGACAGCAACATTGAAGACACTTGGCTGTAACCCCTAAACTTCTTTAAAAGCTCTGAGTTTGGACAGTGCCCCAGGAGTGACAGGGTACACCACAAATAACACTTCAGGTCACAGTTCACAAGACACTTCCTTCAGCACATACTTCCAAAGTAGTTCAGCATCCTACATGAGCAGCTAGCCACTCACCATGCAAGTACCGTTTAATTTCTTCAAATATATTAACACATCAGTTGTAACAGATGTGTTAAGTTTATGCCCCAAAAGCCCTTATACCTTATAAATAAGGCATTTTTTTCTATTTTATACAGTTTGGTTTGTTACTCTTTGATGGGTCTGTAAGCCAGTATTATACTATGCAATTTAAGACAAAACAGCTATTGGATAAGGATGCAAGAAAACATTAGGATGGCAAAATCACCAATACTAAGAGGATTGGTGAGCCACTAGCACGGTTTGCTTTATTTGTTTGCATTTGAAATGAGATAATGCAGAGTTCTAGCTCTGTTTAAGTTTCATTAACATCACAGTAAAGGAAACTTACCTTGTAAAACATCTCAATTTTGGGTGGATAGAACTTATACCCTTCTTTAACACCAGGGTTTCTTTTGAGAAAGGAGCCAGTAGCAATTCTTCTGCACACCCATTCAATTGGGATCATTTCACAGTGAGCTGCTATAAATGCTGTGTCACTCTGTTTCCTGACAAAAGCTGTTTTGATTCCTAAGTAGAGACATGCCAGTTTAGTTCCATTACTAGGCACAGTCCACAGTTGAAACAAGAATCACAAACATCTTTATTCTAAGTACCACTCAATCTTGTTCATCTCTGGACTTACACGACATACTGTATCTCTTCAGGGTGTCTTAAGCCCACTCTGGCCTTGCAAAAAGAAATCACTGCAATTACCTTCTGCAAGTCATTAGTTTTGCCAATTTAATCCTACAGTGTTTGCTTGTTGCTCAGAACCTTGTGCTCTGGTCAGAAATCCTATTCTTGCAAATAATTATCACATAGCTTAAAAAAAAAATAAACACCAAAACAAAACCCACAACACACCTATTCTTCACAATGGTTTGCTTTTAAACAAAAGTTAGCAGCAACCAAGTACCCAACCATGGCAAGATGACTGCTAAGCCTACTTGGCATCTGCCAGAAACAGAAGACAAACGAGCTGTATCCAGTCAAACCAAGAAGCTCTACTCCATACCACTTTCGGAGCCATGAAAGAAGAATTGAAAGTCTTGAAATACAGTACTACCATTACCTCAGATTTTGTTGCACTGCAGAATGAATTATCAGCTGCACATTAAGACACTGATAAATCCAGGCATTAAGACCCCTGCATGGTTTACTACTACATTTTTCATCAGTACAAATGCCTGCTTTTGAAGGCCTGACATTAGCTCTATTATAAAAGGAGAGAAACTTTAACAGAACTTTGTAAATCATCATCTTTGAAAGAGTAGGTTAAGAAGAGTTGCGAAAAGCAAACAAACTACTTCCATGATAAGGCATTCACATTATCTGCCTTTTACGCCAGTCAAATAAGCAAACTGGAGAACCACCCAGAAACTTCTTTTGTTGCCTCAAAATGCAGCGGTTGTTTACTCTGCATGTTTTTCCACAGCACATGAAATTACCAAGCATAAGCCATTTCGGGATCTTTAAGAGGTCTACAAGTATGGCTTCTTGACACTGAAATTCCTGTCTGTAGGATATTAGCTATTTTGAATTGTTACCTTATCTATTGTTCTGTAATACTTAGGCAAAACATTTCATTAACTGCTCCTATATGAAAACTGGTAGTTATAGTCAACTGCAAATATAATCAGAAATAGCTTGGAGGCTTCTCTATGCTGTATGCACAACAGGCCTCCCAAGAAAGCCAGTGACTGAGAATTATACTGAATGATTTGATGTATCTTTGTCTCAGCCCATATTTTAAAGAACTAATTGCACAGAAATATAGGTAGATACAACCTCAAAAATCATCTCTCTTTGCCACATATTACACATGCTAGGACTTTACTGTTTGTCTCTCTGAGAACCATTACTACGCCGTACAACAGATAATACAAGTTTTAAAGTAACTCATCTGGTACTTAAACAATGCTTGTGCAAATGCTTTAGAGTGCACCGAGCACGCAGCTATAAGCATCTTAACCAAGTTTACTGGCGCCTGTATTGCAGTACTGTTTGCAGCTCAAGGTAGTGCAAATTCCTCTTTGCAACTTGCAAACTTCTCAGTCAAAGACACTTCAAGATGCTTTGTCAAAGCAAAGACACTGGCTCCATTTTTGGAAGTGTGGCGCAAAACCTGAGTGACTCAAGTTAGTTACATACTCCACGGAAGCTCACTTCTAGCACCAGAAACATTTTGAGCCTCTTAACGGAAACATTACATTCTCCGTAACATTCAATACAGACCAATAAATGCGGACCACATTGCAAATGCACAAGTGTTTAAGTACAAAGTGTGCGGAACCTTTATAGGTTATGATACAGCATAAACAACTGAGGGGAAAGAAAAATGTTGTAAAAAGATACTCTAATTTTAACATTCATACACAAGTTTCACACAGCTTAGTCTGCTAGTGCCACTCGCTAGCAGTGACTTGTAGGCAGATGTAAGAAGAACGGCGAGATGCATCCAGACAAGGGAACACGGGGGAAGGGAATAACTGACAGAAATAGAGGGGAGCATGAAGGGTGTGTCCAAAGAAGAAGGAGTTGTTGCAGTGTTATCTGTTACTGGAAAATTACTTCGGATACTCTCATGCTACAAATGAACAAGTCACCCATCCAGCTCTGCAGTCCAGAAGGAAAAGCGTAACTAAAAACGAATAGAAGAGACACTAACCCCCTTCTCCCCGCCCACAACATCAGAGCTTCAGGGCAGGATACACAGAAACACCACCGTTTTCTAACAAGATCTGTAATACACCGGCATGTTTTATACCTTTGAAATACTTACCAGATTCTTGCAGCAACTGAAACACACAGCTAGTTGTTGTATTAGAAATGGCAGCCTTCCCCTCCATTCGGTCCTTCCTGGCCGCATTCCCCGCTGTTATTTGGTCTTTTGACTGCATGAGAACGCATCCCGGCATATCTGGCAGCTCGAACACTTCTTTTGTTTTACCTTCATTAACTTTTTTACCAAGTTTCAGGTCTGAACAAGTAAGTAATGGATGAATGAACAAAGTTTTAGATTGAAATAAATGCTTTACTTCTGCAAGTAAGCCCACCAAGTTCGCATACTTTGCAAAGCGAGACCCAGCAGGACCCCGTGCTGCAGCCCGTGAGCCACCGCCAAGCCCGCATGTACTGGCAATGTGATGAGGCCTCCCCCCGCCCCCGGACAGCAAGGGCGAAACAAACGCTCAACGCTTCTGCTCGCAGGACTCCGGCGCCACGAGAGATGCGCAGGGAACGTCGGGGCAGCTTCCCACTTGGAGCAGCGAGCTCTCCTCCTCCGGCTGCGCTCTCCTCCGCACTGGCACGGGTTTTCACTCGCCGCCGGCGGTCGGGAGGTGCCGCCTGAAGTGAGGCGGTGCCGCGGGAAGCTGCGCCGCTTTTACCCGGTACTTTGATGTGGTTTAGCTTCCGGACAAACACGAGGCTCGGGAAGCAGAACCGCAGCGGCCCGAAGCACCCTCCGCCCGAGGATAGAAACGCTCGTTTCGAAGCGCTCGCCCGCTCCTCCCGCGGGACAGGGGACACCCGGTGCCCCCTCGGGCAGGGTCGCGGTCACCCACGAGAAGAAAACAACCCAAAGCAAAGCTCTGCGGAGGAAAAAAGCTCGCTCTCAAGGAGCTACACCCGAGCTCGGCTGAGCGGGCACCTGCCCCCCCCCCCCGGCAGCGGCACCCGCCGACCCGTCCCCCGATCGCTCCCGGCTCCCCGCTCTCGCGGCATGCCCTGCCGGGGGACACGCAATTACCTGATGCTGCGGGGGCCATGGCTACGGCGGCGGGAGCGGCAGCAGACACCTAGGGCACAGAACACACACTCAACACACGGCGCCGGACCCCACCGCCGGGGTAAGAAGGGGCCGGCGGAAGGGGCGGGCAGGAGGGGCAGCGGCGCCTCCCGCCAATCACCGCCCAACGCGCCCCTCTCCGCCCCGCCGCGTTCCGCGGGCGAGCCCCGGCCGGGCGCCTTCCTCCCAGTGCAAACACGGCCCCGGCCCCGGCCCCGCTTCCCGGCCAATGCCGCCCCGAGGGCGAGCCCCCGCCTTGCGGCGTGCGGTGGGCGCGGGGCCAGGGCCGGGGAGGGTCCCCCCGTATGTAAATGAGGGAGCCCGCCTCGCCAGGCTACTGCCGGCCCCGCGCGGCGCTGTTGGCTGCGCGCAGCGCAGGCAGGAGCGCGCGGGAGCCGCCGCAGCGGGAGAGGGACCGGGGCCGTCGAGCGGGGCCGCGCCGCCACGTGCCGGCCGCGCCATGGAGCTGGAGGAGCTGGGCATCCGGGAGGAGTGCGGCGTGTTCGGCTGCATCGCCTCCGGTGTGTGGCCCACCGAGCTGGACGTGCCCCATGTGATCACGCTGGGGCTGGTGGGGCTGCAGCACAGGTAAGGCAGTGAGGGGGCACGGGAGTCGGGACCGGGATGGAGAGGGTCACCGTCCCAAAACACCGGCTCCGCAGCGGGCCGGGCCGCTGCGGCTGCCCCGCGGTGGTCGGGGTTCCGCTTCGGCATGTGCAACCGGCGGCGGCAGGAGCGGGGTGGGAGGCGAGCGGCGGGGGCCTGTCCGCTCCAGAGCGTCCCGTCCCTTCCTCCTGCTCCGCTCCGGCCGGGAGACCCGGCAGCATCCCTTTGGCGGAGAGCAAGGCATGCCCCGCCGAGTCCCGGGCCGGCATCGCCGACGGAGCCGCTCTCGGACGTGCCTTGCACCTCACCCGCATCTCATTTTAAGCGGCATCCGCTCCTGCCGCCGCCCGCACGTGCGCGCGTCCCGCGCTGCCCGGGAACCTCCGTGCGCGCAGCCCCCGGCGTGGCGGCGGGGATGCGCCCATCGCCCAGTCCCAGCCCCGCCGCAGCGGTGACAGGCAGGCGCTGACCTCCCGCCGACGGCGCGGCATGCCCGGCCGGCATTCCTGGCGTCACTCGGAATGCTCGTGTGAAATGTAGTTCACACACGTCGGGACTGCCTTGGCGCAGTGGTTCTCAAGGCTCCTACTAGCCATAGTTATGAATCTTCAGCACCATGGTACAACGAAACTTTCTTCTACCTGCCATGTCTATGGCGATGTGAAACAGACTAGGATAACTGGGAACGCAGAGCTGCAAAATGAAGTTTGGGTTCTGCTTCCCTTTGGTATTCAAAGTAATAATGGTATGCACTGACATATGCTGATCGTTTTCCCAGGGGTGCCAGAAGGGGATTTTGCTCCTTGTTGGGAACACATGCACGGCCAAGCCCGCACACACAAGCTATGTAGAACATGCAGTGCGAACACCTGTACCCTGTGCTTAACTTCCCACTTGTAATCACGTTGCCGACAGCCTTTGGAGGTCCGAGCTTCTCCTGGGTACCCATGCAATGAATAGATAAAATGATAGGTTCTTTGTATTTCTGATGTCACAGACATGCTTTGAAATGGCTTTGGTCCAACAGCAGAAAATAGTTTACATTGAGATTTTCTGTTTATTGCAACCAACTTTCATATACTTTCACTGGTAAAATCCTGCATCCCTACATGACTCTCATATACTAAGACTTCGGGTTGCAGGTGTATCATTCATAAACGATATATATTTGCCAGTGTCCATCAAAAATGTTTTTATTGGGAGAGATAGAGTTGCAGAATCCAAGGAAAAAAAAAGCCTAATGAGACTAATTAAAAGTCATTTTAGGCTGCACCATTTTTCTGGAAAAAAATCTTACCTCATTTGTGCTTACGCAGACATTGGTGGGCCGAGAAAATAAAATGATTGATGTATTTTCATTACTCTGCATCTTCTTATCTCAATTTTCATTGCAACCTTATTTCATGATTATTGTTTATTGATGGACACTTGACAAGTATATTTGATTTCCATGAGCTGTTTAATATCAAATATCCCCTATGGAGGACACAACTGTAGACAGTAATGCCACTGTTGCAGTTGAAACTGTAAGCAGTTCACCAGTTCTATGGCAAGATGCACACCTAAAGGCATGCACACGCTACCTCTGATTCTGATCTTAGAACTCAGTAACTGACAAAACTTATAAGGGCTGCTTTCTTAGAGGCATAAACTTGATGACACCAAGCTGTGTGGTTCGGTTGATACCCTGGAGGGAAAGAATGCCATCCAGAGGGACCTCGACACACTTGTGAGGTGGGCTGATGCCAACCTCATGAAGTTTAACCATGACAAGTGCAAGGTCCTACATCTGGGTTGGAGCAATCCCAGGCACAGCTACAGGTTGGGCAGAGAAGAGATTCAGAGCAGCCCTGTGGAGAAGGACTTGGGGGTGTTGGTAAATGAGAAAATGAACATGAGCCGGCTTCAGTGTGTGCTCACAGCCCAGAAAGCCAACCGTATCCTGGGCTGCATCAAAAGGAACGTGACCAGCAGGTCGAAGGAGGTGATCCTGCCCCTCTACTCTGCTCTCGTGAGACCTCACCTGGAGTATTGTGTGCAGTTCTGGTGTCCTCAACATAAAAGGACATGGAACTGTTGGAACAAGTCCAGAGAAGGGCCACGAGGATGATCAGGGGACTGGAGCACCTCCCGTATGAAGACTGGCTGAGGAAGTTGGGGCTGTTCAGCCTGGAGAAGAGAAGGCTGCGTGGAGACCTCATAGCAGCCTTCCAGTATCTGAAGGGGGCCTATAGGGATGCTGGGGAGGGACTCTTCATTAGGGACTGTAGTGACAGGACAAGGGGTAACGGGTTAAAACTTAAACAGGGGAAGTTTAGGTTGGATATAAGGAAATTCTTTCCTGTGAGGGTGGTGAGGCACTGGAATGGGTTGCCCAGGGAGGTTGTGAATGCTCCATCCCTGGCAGTGTTCAAGACCAGGTTGGAGGAGGCCTTGGGTGATATGATTTAGAGTAAGGTGTCCCTGCCCACGGCAGGGGGGTTGGAACTAGATGATCTTAAGGTCCTTTCCAACCCTAAAGATTCTATGATTCTATGGTTGCATCTGTGGAGTGACACAGTCTATTCAATCAGGTATACCTTTACAAGCCCTCGATAGAACTCTATTAAATAGGTGAGATGTTAATGTTCCCATTTCCTTCTTTGATGTTTTATCTCAAACCTTTTTGCATTTTCCCTGCTATGAGGTGTAGAAGGGGTGGCATCCCTCTCAGGCAGTAATAGGTTTTAGCATTAACTGTACCTGTAAATTGCATTAAGCCCATTTTTTTAAACTTAAAACCCAAGAAGTGTCTCTTAACCTTATTCTTTGAAAAATAAGTAAATAAGTAAGAGAGGAATGGTAAATATAACGGTCAGTTCCAATTAGGCTTAAGTCACTAACAGAAGTTTGATTGGCCATGACAAACACAGTCCTCAGACCTCACTTTGGAATTAGTAAGAACATTTAGGTAATGATTACTGGCCTTAGATACTCACAGCATGTTCTTTTATATGCAAATTAGTCCTGTGCAATAAAATCGACTTAGAGAATTTGGCCCTTAATTCATCTTAGATTTAAAAAATTAGGATGCTCAAGCATGGCATTGTGTCAACCTGCATTTTTTAGATGACTGGTTTACAAAAAAGAGGCAGCTGTGGGGAACATTACCAGTTTCTAATCTTTGAAATCTTGTCTGCATAAGTAAAGATCCAGGGTATTTGTTACATGCCACAAAAACATGCAGCGTAAATTCTTTGTGCTTTATGTTCTGATATAGCTGGTAGCAGCAGCGTGAAGGACTTTGCTGTTTCTGATAAATGGCCTAAAGTGAGTTGATGCTTTGTATTACAGTGTTAAAAAGATAATATGGCACTGGAGAGATGTACTCCAGTGGGGATGCTTGTAACTGAAAACTTGAAACTCTCTGTGCTGGGTCAAGCCACCAAAATACTGAAGAGGCATATTCAGTGGCATGTGTTTGAGCAGTGCTCATTGTTTCACCAAATCTATTCTGCATGAAAAATGAGGGTGTATTTGTAAGCAAGGTTCTGGAGTGGGCCCGGAAGTAGGTACATTGTGAAAAATAAGAGACAGACTTGGAATTTCACTATCCTGACATAAACAACAACTTTAAAATGTGTGTACGGGTGTAGTTTTGGTTGGTTTTTAAGCAGCTGCTAGGTTGTTGAGGCTTAAATTCATAATCTTTTGTAGCAGAAGTTAAAATGTGGCTTTTCATTGGCTTTAACTCTATAATGGTGAGCTATGAATTAAAATGAAAACCGATATATTCCTACTCACAGGCTAATTAAGGCCTTCCACACACTAACAACATTGTACCAGTTTAACTTGAGACCATTTCAAACTGATTCTCATTTGATTTTAACATTTTACAGCTATGTTAGCAGTGAATTCTTATTATGACTGAAACCTATAGCTAGCACTAAAGCTAATGCTGCTACTCTGGTGTCAACATTAACAAGGCTTAAAAGTGGATGTTCTAAAACATCTTTACAATTTATAAGCTAGGGAAGAAAGCCACTGTAAATCCACTAACAGCATGCCAAAATAAAGTCTGGATATTGGTAAGGAAACAACTTTCTTGGGGGTGGTGAAGGAGGAGGAGTTCTTTGACTTACAAATCTATTAAACGTCATCTGAGTCCTTGACCAGGACAAATTTGCGAAGTTAATCTTGGAACAAATGTGATTTCTGTTAACTTTTTCAAAATTCCCTGGAAAATGTTTGGCAGTAATACTATGTACTGAAACCCGAGTGTATCCAGCTTTGTACTGGTTCTTTAAAAAGGCCTTTATAAGGTCTGTTCTGTGCAGGCGGAAGTCCTGTTAAGTGAGGGAATACTCCTTGTTCCACCTCAGCTGGGTGAATGTATGAAGTTTATTATGAGAATCAATGTAAACTTGGGGGGAGGTTGGCCAGCATGCTTTCTTGATGGCTTCCCTATAGCTGTCCACTATTAAACCTCACACAATAAAACCCAAATAATCACCAATGTAAGTTAAGAATTTTTACTTTTCTTTCAATCTAGTAGAATTACCGGTTGCTTCCCATTAGCCATCCTTCCAAATAGCTACCCTCAGTGTAGCATAGTGAAAGTGTTTATCTAAATTTTATATGCAACCGCTTGGGTACAAAATTGATATTTAAAAAAAGCCATTGAGCAAGCTACTGGTAATCCTGTCTTACAACATGAATCTTGCACACAACAAGTTTGAAACTGGAATAGTAGTTGGATGGGAATTTTCTGAGGGACATGGATATGCTACAGGTAATATTCCTGATAATTTGGTGTGTGACATATTTACCTCTTCATTCTTTTCATCTCAAGAACCTGAGTTTAGCAGATCCCCAGTCCGTAGATGCAAGAAGTGCAATGTTAAATATTATCTAAATGCCAAATGTTGTAAGTAACCATATTTCTATGGAAATTCTCTGTGGAATATACTGGCTAAGATGTATGCATAGCTAGTGACTGAGTCTGTCTGCTGTTTTACTGGAACATTCGTGCTGTATGTACTGTTAAAATGCTCCCCACTTTCAGAGACACTGAACACACTATCTTTTAGTTCTGTCTTGGTTTACATTTACAGGCCATTCTGTGCTGCTAGATGCTGACAACCCAGTTCAGTTACATGCCACAAATCTCACTCCTGCAGGAGGAGGGGGACCTTTTTGTTCTGGTGAGCTGTTATATTGGCTCAGTTGTTTTACATAGCTTCCTGCAGGGCTCAGGTTCCTGCATGTGTGTTTTCAGAAAGCCAGATTTCTATTTTACCCAAGCTCAGGTCTCTTAGATGTACATGTCACAAAATGCGGTTTGGTATCAGCTCTTATCTCTGGATGTAGAGAAACCAACAGGAATGCGATAACATAAGGACTGGAAAAGCCAGGAGGGAAGTGGTGCCAAAATGTTTGTGCAAGAGGACATTTCGGAGACAGCCATTATGTTTATTGTGGCCAGCAGACATCCCATTACATTAACCTAGCCACAAAATTGGGTTGAGACTGTTTGTTCCTCTTTACATTGTTATCCAAGATGGCATGATACAGCTTCCAGTAGTTTTCACAAGCTGTGTTGGCTTGTCAGCCCATACCTTGAATGTGAGCCTGTTGCCTGGAGGGAGGGTTGTACACAGCATGGGAAGTCCATGCTGGGTAGTTCAGTTCAAATAAAGCTGCCCCAGCTGCTCTGTGCTATGTAAAAAAGGTAAGGATTGTTTAGAGGGGCTTTTCATTAGGCTAGTTTTAATTTAAATCAGTTCTGTCAGTTGATTAGCCACTTGCCTATGTAAGCTCTTGTGCCAGCACAAAGGAGGCCTTACCGCTGGAGGAGGAACAAATGAGTGAGTCTGCAGGGAGAGTCTTTTAAGCTGACAATGATGCTGACAGTGCTTGTGGATCCACCAGCAATGCAGGCATTTCTCCTCCCTGGTGCTAATTCTCCATGCATTTGGCCCAAATATAGTTTGGTCTACCAGGAAATAATCTAAATGGGGCATTCAGAGGACTTTCCAGGGTAACAGCCCTATGAAAGACATGTAAAGTGGCCCATTCATCTCAGTGAATGTGTGCTTTAGAGAAGAATGGAACTTTTTAGTATAGGTTAAGTGTGGTGATTGCTTTATTTATCTGCATACCTCAAAAAAATCAGCATTGTCATTTGCAAATGGCAGAGGAGACAGACTTGCCCTCAGTTATCTGAACCCCTCCCTGGTAATAGTGCAGATATTTGAGGAGAGAGAAGAGCAAAGATCTGTTTTTTAAAGGATTGTTTATCTTGACATCACTGCTTGGTGTTGGTTTTGATTTTTAAGTTGCACCATTTTCATGATGTCATTCATACTAACATTTCCAGGAGCAGATACATAGAAACAACTTGGTCTGGCCTTTCTGCTAAAAAGGAATCACATTTGTGGATCTGTGTCTAAGAAGGCCTGTCCTCCCTAGTTCTTTCGTCCTATGTAATGCTCTCAATATAACCGTTTAGCATGGCTCAGATGGTGCCCCAAGTTCCATTTAACTTTCCCCTAAGTGTGCCTAAACTATCGTGTGACTGTAATGGATGTAAAGCTTTATCAGAGCAGAGCCACAGCACAAGCTGAAGTGGATATAAGAAATACCCTGGAAATAAGACTTGGATTAACTACTGCTGGTTTTGAAGGGACTTTTTTTGATAAATCCTTCACTAGCAATCCCATAGATGGCTGTCAAAAGCAGACAGACCATACCTGTAGACAGTCGGTATTCTAAATGCGCAATATCCATGTTATTTTTATAGCAAAAAGTAACATGGAATGGTAACTACAACTGCAGTGAAGAAAGGTTGTCTTGATGCCACTTTATCCATCTCAGTGTCCTACATATTCAAGTAGATGATTGTTGTCTGTATAAATGGGAGTAGTGCAAAAATATTGGATGGTACCAAATGCCCATGCACTTGACATCTCTTACCATCTTTGTCCAAAAATAAATGTGAACAGAAGGAAAGAAGAGTTGCAGTGGAATCTCACACAAAGGGAAGTCCACCTTTTTTGGGTATTTGTCAAGTAACTTCCACTCTCTGTAAAGGTTCTTGAGAAAAAATACTTCCCTTGGAAATACGCTTGTGTTCTTTATTTTCTGTCAGTTCTTGCTTCACGTCTATGTTCTTATGAACAGTTTACAAGTAGAGAGTGCAGATATGCGCTGCGATTCTCTGCTCTGACTTACTAAGAATTTATACAGTCCTTTTGACTCAGTGCTTTTGTGCAGTTTCCATCTGAACAACAGCATTTAAAACCAGATACATATTTCTTGAAGGATCTGCTTATTCTAATGAATAAAATAAGTATTTTTTATTTTCTGGAAGAAGAGAAAGCTTTTTGGGGGGTGTTTGTACTGAATGACAGAAAAGTTTTGGAAAGATTTGGATCCTTGTGCATCACTCAGAATGTTAAGGGCAGGTTGTCTTTGCAGTACTAACTGCCTCCTTCAGGTTAGCTTTTCTTCTGAGAGGGCAGCCACGCTGCAACAAAAGCAACCTTTGAGGTGCTCAAAGGTGGGCCTAGCACAGCCAAGAACATGTGGGGCTGCTACAACTTACACAGAAAACCATTTGCTTTTTTTTTTTCCCCAGCTGGACTAGTCTTGTGTCAGGTTAGTGAGCTGAATTGGTTTATAGAGGATCCAGCAAGCTTTGAATTGCTCAGAGAGTAGCATGGAGAAAAGGGGATCTTCTTGTTGCAATGAGTTATCAAATCAATTTCAGTTTTGCACTCGTGGAACTGAACAGGTAAAGCAGAACATGTAAGTGATCCATATTATTTTCAGTACAGTTATTTTAAAAACTGAAACTGTATGTGCATGTCACTGTAAAAATGAACATGATTTAAACCCTATAATTTTCTAGGGATCTTTCTCTGACTTCTCTGCATTGTTTTATGAATGCTAGTTAAGTGGCAGGTAAAATCTGCCTTGGTGGAAATTATTTAGCTTCATAATATCGCTTATAAAAAATTGACAAGAAAATAATTACCCTTCCAGCAGGAAACAAGGCACTGTGTCAGTAATATTTTTGTGTAACATTTTGTGAAGAGCGACTTGGATGGAATTTAGGCCTCTGTGTATAAAGAGATCTGTCGGCTGTTGCTGCTGCAGTAAGAACTTGACAATTTGACTTCAGTTGTGCCCTTGTGCGTGCCCAGAACTGACCTAACTTTGGCAGGGCTGTGTAGATATATGCCCAGACATGACAGAGATCCAGAAATGAGTTGTTCTGCTTGAACACACTAAAAGAAACCCCTTGAAATGCATGCCTTGCAGGCAGTACAGGCTATAGAATACTTAGACAATCACAAAGTAGCTGCTAGTAGGATTTTGCAGAGTAACAGTTATGGCATGGCATTTGTCACTTACTGTGTCATTGTTCCCTGCATTGGTTCTATGTTTTCTAATACTTCATTGCTTACTGGGCCAGGCAGACCCCTTGCCCAACACAGAACAGGGACCAGAACTCATGCCTGCACCTTCTAGGTGGCCATCAACACTGTATACTTTCTGACTTACTGAATTTTCCAGTTCAGTGCTGCACAGCACCATGCCTTCAGTGGGCAGCTGGGGATGGTCCCCCACGCCAGCATACACAGAAGGAGCAGCTAGGAGTGTAAATGCTGATAAAGGAATTAAGTGTTGCATTTTCCCCACCAGCCTTGCCTAACCAAAAAGAAGTTCTCATGACTTTGACTGTTTGGTTAATTGCAGAGGACTTACTTGCTAGGAAGGTCATAGAGATGGTAATTGGAAATGATGGGATGCAGTTTGAACTGTACATGTTTTCTTTATCAGTCAGTGTTAGTTTCTTTCCATTAAGCCTGTTAATTATGCCAGTAGGTGAGCCAAAGCATGTAGGTAGAGGTTATATCTTTTATTAGACTGACGTCACTGCTAAAAGATCATAGTTAAGGATTATGATGGGAACTCATATGTTGTTTTAGTTTATATGACAGAAGGTGAATATATTAAAGGGGAGAAAGCATACACCCATGTGGGTGATCTACACTGATAAATATGTCTGTCTAATTTTCTACTATCTGAGAGAATCTCTTTGCATGCTAATTTAGTTAAAAAGTTCATTAAACCAACCTGTTGTATGGCTGATGGATCAGCATACCGCTGTGTTCTGTTGAGGTCTTGCATTTCCTCCTGCTTACAAAGCCTTTCTAACAGTAACTTTTTGCCTTCTGTTACTGTGTGCACTCTCTCTGTTAATAGCTTTTGGAAGTGGAGTATGGCGTTTTCAGAAGCACTTTTCTTAAGTGGAACAGGTGACACCTCTGTGGACAAAAGCAAAGCATGTAGTTAGAGTGCGCAAGTCAATGAACTGCTGACACTGACATTTAGCTAGATTCTACTAATGCTGTCCTTCTGTTAGCGTTTTTGGGAGGCCTTGCCAGGTGTTGTGTAAGGGGTCACTGTATAACGTCAAGGAGGAATGAAGCAAACCTTGTAAAAATCACTCATTTGAAACCTTCAGCTTTGCCTAGATACTGACTTCTGCCAGATGTATTTGCCTAATAGGCAATAACTGAAAGTATATTTAACCACATAGGAATTAGTCCTGTTAGTAGTTTGGGATGGTGAACTGAGCAGGTTGAATTCAGAAATGTTGTGGTGTTTGGATCTGTTTGCGTTCAGCTGTCTGTAGACAAGACAACAGTTTAGTATTAGAAATAGGGGCAAGCCTCCCAAAAGTAAGACTGTCATCCCTAAGTGTTGGACTTTTTCACTATTAAAGGCCTGACAGTTCTGCCAGGAAAAAAAACAAACAAACAAGCTCCTGACCTTTCCCATGTCAGATTGCACGCCATGTATTTCTACCCATCCCTTCATTTTTCTCTGTCAATGATTCTATACCATATCTTCTCTTTGGAATAGCTGCATTAACGTGTTTTCTCTTGTACAACATGCTAGACATTGCATGTTAGACTTTATACATGTAGATACATGTATTTTTACTGATGCATGGTATATGAGGAAGCCATGACTGTGATATATTGTCCCTGTTTTCCTCTGAGCAACACAAGTAATTAAGACATTTTCTTTTAAAAAAAATTTATTTTTTTCCTTGCACTTGATTCTTACAAATGATGTTTACTTCATTCATACCAGGGATGAGGATTGAAATAAATTGCAGCTTTCCTTAGGCCCACATTTTTTATCAGGACTCTTCCTTTGCAGATTGTTGAGGGCAAGAGAACCTCGACTTGCAGCTTGGTGTTAAGTTCTAGGATTTCTTTATTTTTAAACTGTTTTAGTACTGGGAATTAGAGTCTGGCATCCAATTCAACAGCAGTGTATAGATGCTTTAAAACGCCGGGAACTCTTACCATCAGTCCATGGTTTTCTCTTGATACTCAAGGATCCTGTGTTTACTGTTACATCTCCCACTGAAACTTAGAAGAGAAAACCAAGGTGACTATTTTGCAGAGATTCTTAAATGCAGTCAATCACACACCGAAAAACCTTATACTACAAAAGCAAATGCGTGGGGATGAGTGACCTGGAGCAGTCAGAATCTTCTAGAAAAGTTAGGAACTGGGTTGGCACACAAAATCAGGGTGGAGACACATTTATTTGGCAGATGCCTCAAAAAGCTTAATAGCTTAAGCTGCTTTTCTGAAAGGTTATTGTTTTACTGTCTCCTACATCAGCATTTACAGCACAGATTAGACAGTCCTTTTCCAGCATGCTAAATGTAAAACAGCCAGGTTGGCTCAAATATTCTTAGTGTTGACAAATTCCATTCACAGACAGCAATAAGAAGTGATAATCTTCAGTTTCTGTATTTGGAAGAAAATGCCTGTGTTAAGAACGTGATTGAGCACAAGAATGAGATAGGTAAGAAGTAGTGGCATCATCCTATGGTTTGTGTGGATGTCGTTCCAGCTGCAGCTAATGGCATGACCCTATGGGGCTCTTGGACAGTGCTTTAGGGCTCTGATTCAGGACAGAGGACAGCTGGTTTAAGGATGGCTCCAGCAGTTTGTGCTTAAGCTGTCTATCTGCCCTCTTCTGCAGAAATGGTTCAAGTCTTCAAATAACATCTGTGACACTGCAAATAGCAATTTTACTACTATTATTCTACTTAGCATTTTGATAAAAATCAGAATTAGTTTTGGTTTACCATAACTCACTGAGCTCTGAGATGCAGTGGTTAAGTTGCTTCTACAAGAGCATCTGATTTGCCTGTAGCAGGGACAAATGCCCCTGAGAGCTGGAGCAGTTAAGAGAACACTTACAGCAGACAAAAGGTTATCAGTGAGGTTCCTAGATCAGAGGTCTTTTATTACTAAACCAGAGGCAAATTCTGTGTAGAAAACTGATTGTGTGTTAACAAAATTAATATAATAATTATCAATGCTCAAATAAGCATCACTGGCCTGGATTCTTCTCTCTTGACTGTGGTGTGAATTCAATCCATGAAGTTTACTTCTTTTGAGTCCCTTCACTTGGCTTGATTGTTACAGATTTCTGCAGTTCTAAATGGTATGAGCTTGTAGCTCTCTATCCATAAGACTTTACACACATTTTATACCACCATTTCACTGTATCTCACTTAAGCTTCCAAAAGCACAAAGATTATCCAGTAACATTGAACACTTCAGGTGTTTTCACTTAGTGTTCTAAGCTACTCCAAAGACCATTTCCCTTTGCTGAGTTTTGCCTATGTGACCATGCAGATACAGGCTTTTCAGTTATTTTCCTTCCCCATTCTGGCCACATATTTCACCCTAATGCAGGGGTCAACAGGCTTTAAGTTTTGTTTTAAATGTTTTGTCTCATCATTGAAGTTTTTAGTACCTGATAGGAGACTTGAACTTTCACATCCCCAGCTTGAGGGACCCATCGGCTGTCTTCTTAAGATACAGTCAACTTCATCATAGAATCTCATTTTTCTCCTGGGATTACCAAGGTGCTCGTTTTCCTTCTGCAGTGCACGGTATTCATATTTTAGGTTCTTGTACTTTGTGCGGCACTGTTTCCAGTCTCTGTCTATGCCACGTTTCATTAACCTTCGGGCGATTTCCTCAAATATTTCTTTATTTCTTGTGGCCCCTTCAAGCATTTGTTGTATCTTTTCATCCGACCATATGTTTATCAGAGCTCTGACTTCGTTATCACTCCAGTGTTTTCCTGCTCCAGTATCGTTAACTGTAATAACTTTAAAGTGATTTTGTGCTTCTTCCAAGGGAACATGACTGTCTGAAAGTGTAAATGTAACAACAACTTAGTATTCCTGAATATACGTACATCAAAGTGTAACTGTAGCTAATGGCTTGGTAAGCAGCTGAAGGATTAATTCGTATCAATAATAATCTCCTATTAGGAAACTTTTAGTTTTGCAATGTTAATATACATACATGATTACCCTTCTGTTAAGTATGCAAAATACATAGCAAGTAAAATCTCTTGTTTGTCCAAGGCATCTAAAATTCCACATTTGTCAGCGTAATTTTGTTGCTATTGTTGGTTAAAGACAGATGTATCCAAGTGCTACATGCAGGAAAGCAATAGGCCTTAAGCTTTAAAGCACCAGGATATCAGCATTGATAAGAAAATGGGTTTCTATAGTTTCAAGGCAAAGTGTCATGCAAATGGAAATGCTACTGTGGATTCAACAGGAAAAAAATAATCTCCAGATTCACGCATATTCAGAAGTAGGCAGGTGCTGCTCATCAGGTAAGTATAGAATGCGAAGTCAAATAACAGTATTAATGCAACTTTTGCTCATGACAGGGAACAGAACTACAAAACTAATTTGTAAGTTTAGTGATAAAGCTAATTGGAGTCAGAGTAGAAAGGTACAGCTTTGTTTACAGAAGAGATGTGGTTGCTCCAGCGTTGGTACTGTAGTTACAATGCAATTCTGTTTCAGAATAAATGCATGGAAATTAATGCTCACCTGTCCCGACCATCCGTTTTGCTACTGGTGTACAAGATCTGTCTTCTGAAGTAGTGCTTATAGAATCATCATCTGTAGAAATACAGACTCTTAAATAAAATAGACTTAGACAAATAAGTTGTTCATATTATTGTAATCTTCCACGTCACACCTGTCTTCACTTAAAAATGTTATAACCCATTAATTACAGAATGACAGAACCATAGAGCTGTTCAGGTTGGAAAACACCTTTAATATCATGGAGTCCACTGTTAACCTAGCACTGCCAAGCCCACCACTAAACCATGTTCCAGAGAGCCCCATCTATGTCTCTTAAATACCTCCAGGGATGGTGACTCAGCTACTGCCCTGGGAAGCCTGTTCCAATGGTTGACAACCCTTTCTGGGAAGAAATTTTTCCTAATATCCAATCCAAACCTCCCCTGGCACAGCTTGAGGCTGTTACCTCTTGTACTGTCACTTGTTACTTGGGAGAAAAGGCTGACCCCCACCTGACTACAACCTCCTGTCAGGTGGTATATTAAACAGAACTAATTCCCTGGTGAACATCACTTGTGACCAGCTGCCAGCTGGATTTAACTCCATTCACCACAACTCTTTGGGCCCAGCCATTCAACCAGTTTTTAACTCAGTGAAGAGTACACCCATCCAAACCATGAGCAGCTGGTTTCTGCAGGAGAATGCTGTGGGAATTGGTGTCAAAGGCTTTTCTAAAGTCTAGGTAGACAACAAATGCCTTTCCATTATCCATTAAGCAGGTCACCTCATTATAAGAGATCAGGTTCATCAAGCAGTACTTGCCTTTCATAAACCCATGCTGACTGACTGGGCTTTATCACCTGGTTGTCTTGTACGTGTCGTGTGATGGCACATAAGATGATCTGCTCCATAACCTTCCCTGGGACTGAGGTCAAGCTATAGTTCCCCAGATCCCCTTTCTGGCCCTTGTTAGATGGGCATCATATTTACTAATCTCCGTCACCTGGGACCTCCCCAGTTAGCCAGGGCTGCTCATAAATGATTGGCTCTGTAAGCACTTCCATCAGCTCCTTTGTCATCACTGGGTGGATCCCACCTGGCCCCATAGACTTCTGTGTATCCAACTGGTGTAGTAGGTCACTGACCATTTCCCCTTAGATTGGGGGGCTTCATTCTGCTCCCTATCCCCTACCTCCACTAAGACAGCAGACCAAAAGATCTCACTACCACACCATTCTTCAAACATTGGCTGCTGGGGGCTTATTTCTAGTGAGCCTGGTTTTAACCTTTCCCTACCTGAAACTATTCTATGTGGATTAAATGACAAAACAGGGAAGGCAGAAGAACTATTTTTCATTCCACCAGCATCTGAATTCTCTTCAAAATTCCACCTTTAGCAGGATAGAAAATCATTATATTCTTATTCTACATGCCTACATGTCAGGTTTTCTCCCTCTGCAGAGGTGAGGCTATAATAGCTTTGCATTCTTTCTCAGCCTAAAACCTATTCCCTTCAGAAGTAAAATGCAGGAGCCCTCAGAATTGAAATCATCTATGGACATCAAAACCCAGCTCTGCTGACTGGGCTCATTTCCTCATACTTGGGCTTCTCTGAGGCTGAAAGTTCACTTTTGTGCAGAATTACTTTTTGGGTTGAGAGAAAGATTAGTTCTTATCATTTTGTATGGAAAACTTAGAATCAGAAATACTGTCATAAGCATCTGTGTGTGATTTTCTCTGGATATTAGGGAAAAAGTGTTTTTTGTAAATAGGCTACCCCACAACTCTTACAAAAATTCTCACATCTTCCTTTAACACTTGCAGCTATTGGAAACAGAACCTTGGGGCAGAATGGAGCAGCAGGTCTCCCGCTGCTGGGCTCTTCAAGGGTTTATGTCTTGATTTTACTATTATAAAAACTCCCATGGCTTTCATTTATGTGCTTATTCTCTCAACCATGCCGCTCTCTAATCTCTTTCTGCCTTCGGCAGTGCTGCTTGTGTACTTCTGACTTGCGTGTTTACTATTCTCAATGGGATATTACATGACAGGAGTGGGGAATTTGTGTGTATAGGGCAGTCAGTTGATTTGCATGATGCTTTATTCTGCGTCACTGTGTATGAACTCTGCTCTTTGTATCAGTGTGACCCCACTATGTCTCTGAACTTTCAGGGACATAGCTTTACTTTATCCTCAGTGTAACTTGTGTTTCTGTGTGTCATTGCTGTGATGGCATTACTCTGATGTTGTCCTGTGTGTCATACTTGTCACAGTTGTCTTTCATAATCAAGATCGGCCTATCTAAACAGTCATAAAAGCTTTGTTGGATAGGGTGGCTGAACACCCAAACCTCAGGTAACACAATTGCCAAGAAGGAAGTTCTTGTCTGGATCACAGAAATACTGATGCATACAATAGCAATACTATAGTAGAAACTTTCAATGTAAAAGGCCAAAGAATTGTTGTTCACAGAATTATATACTGTAAAGTATATTTTGATCCAGGATATCAGGTCAATATGTTTCAATGTCATCGTTATTTCCTCTAATGCCTCTTTTTCATGACCTTCCATGGTTTGTATGCTCATTTATTCCACAAGATTAATATGTGTTCTAATGTTAAATTTTAAAATTTTTAATAAATCTTTTTCTGAATACTTGTAATTGAATGCATGACTTCTACATATTGCCGAGGCTCTGGTTTCAGTTTGACTTGTAAAATAATTCAGCATATTTATGGCAGTTGTTTGATAGTAAATAGTCTGAAATTAAATGCACTCCCATGAAGTAGTTTAAAAACACGGATATGGTGTAAAATGTTCAGATATCTGAGATAGCCATTTAGCTCTCCAGTTTATCTTCTCTAGCACAACTGTATAGGAAAAAGAACAGTATTTGTGTCACAACCAAATACAGTCTTATCACATCTAGCAAAATAAGGAGTATGTTGTCTGGGAAAATAAGATTGTTTTACTAATTGGGGGGAAGGAGAAATAAGAGTTTATGCATTTTCGCACTATGAAATCAAACAACACCCAGATTTTATCGTAATCTAGAAGCAGAACAAGTATAATATGCAGGAATAACATATGGACCTTAGAAACCTGCAATTCCCACTAAGGTAAAATGTGCTGTTAGAACCATCAAGACACAGTCTTGACCTACCTATGTCAATCGTCTCCTTCTTTATTTTTGTAGCTTCCAGACCTGCCGGAGTGGAATTGGCAAAATCCCCCTCATCTTCAAGGATTTCTGTAAAAAATATATTTATACAGTTACAATTAACTAAATAGGTCTTGAGTTATGTTTTGAGAATCCCCAGCTTCAGAATACCATTAATAACTACTGTTAATACATCAAAGCTGCCATTCCTCTGCAGTAGTGGGCTTAGGAGCAGAGTGTATGCACTTATATATTAAAACAAATCCATAACCCCATGTAACAGCTGCATAATGTAAGTTTATGGGTTAAATAGGCAAACTTTTATTATTTAAACCTGGATCAGAATTTGGTGAATGGTTCGCTGGTCTTGGTTGTAAGATATGTAAGACTGGTAAACCTCTACACAGCAGAACATGCCAATGGTGACTTTCATAAGGGGTGCTTCAATACAGACTGAAATTATTGAAAGACTCTCAGGTGACTGATGCCAGTAGTCACTGAATCATCCCCAAAAGGGACAAGGGGCTTGATGTTGCATCAGGGTGCTGTGCCTGGATGACTGATCAGCAAGGCTGCTTGCCTGATAAAAGTACTAAATGCCTGTCCTGACAGCTTGTGGGGGGTTTACATCACATAGCTGGGCCCCTCCTGACAGAGGTGTCCCTGGGCTCCCCTCCACGGGGAGGAGAGCTCTGCTCCTCTGCCATTGGCCTCTGGTGTTTAAGGGAGAACTCCACCTCTCTGTCCTGGGATGGAGGGATGGGCAGGCGGATGATGCAAGTGGCCTTTCCAGTCCTGGTTACCAGGTGAGGACACTGCTGTACAGAGATTAAATGGTGAAGGACACACCATGGATCAATGACAGCATTTTCCAGCTCCCAGCTCATTCTCAGTCCATTCAAGAATGTTGCCCTTAAACATTGAGTAATGAAGCATAATCTAGAGCCATTTTATTAAAAATTACTCACCAAATCAATATGACCTTGTTTGTATCAGATGTTCTTTACTATATGACCTGCATCATGTGCCTTTTATTTTTATTTCTTAGTGAGACAAGAATGTGGATAGGGAGCTTGGCTTTTTTTTTAAGCCACTGATCAGAGCTTTTGGAGGGAAAGCAAGAGGAGAGCGAGACTGAGCCAAACAGAACAAACCATCGACAGTTTCTGGCATGAATAAAACACGGTGGCTCCATTCACTGTGAAGCTTTAGTGAAACCATAGACAATTGCCAGTAAATATGCTTAAATCTGTACTTTGTATTTGAAGCACTGCTCACAAGGCCACCAGAGCAATGCTGTCGCAGTCTTTCCTTTTACCCACTCAGACTGATAAAAGCTCTCTTCTCCTTTGGCACTCTCTCACTATCACTGTTTACCCTGTTTTCTGGCTCATGAGGCGAGATCAGTAATTTGAAGTTTCTGCCATTTCTGTCCTGCAGACTATCAGACCGGATAAAGGGAACTTGCACGCAGTTAGGAGTTTGTGTCAGCAGCCCAAGTGTGCCCTGAGCTAAGCCGGTGAATAATCAAGAACTTTGGTTTCATGTTTCACTGAGACACTCTACTTCACACCAGCCTGGGGCACACATATTAAAACATTCATTATCATCTTTTGACTTTATATCTGAACGGTTTAAAATTCCAAGCACACAGCAGTAAGCGTTCGAGCCAGTAAGTTCCTGAGTATGTACCGACTTAAGATCTTAACTTTAAACAACAGATTTTTAAAAAGCCCTTGCTTAGGAATGCATCTTGGCAGTGTCATGACTTACTCCAGATTTGTTCTGAGAAAGACATGTAGTAAAGCATGCAGGGCACCAAAAATCCTAAAAAATAATTGCAAGAAAAGTACTTTGTTTGAAGCAAAATAACTTGCTGTAGGTATTTTTTAAGAACTATCAGGCTACCGGCATTCCTTAGAATCTTGTTTTCATCTTCACGGTTTTTCCCTGGCACTTCAGATTAATCAAACATCTATACACAGTCTGTGGTTCTACTGTGAAGCTGACACATGAAATGTATATGGAGTTTGAATTGATGAGTTGCTACTGCCTGTGTAAACTGAATGAACTTGCTCTTCTAAGTAGATTTCTGGAATTAACTGCCCTTAAAAGTGATTCGTGAAATAGAAAACATCAGTAAAAGGGCCCACATAAGTTTTTTATTGCCAGATTGATTTAATATGAGCATCTTTTACCAGAAAAGAGAAAAATTTCAGTGGCCTCAGCCTTTCCTGGGCTGCTTTTGCTGAAAACGACGTGGGCTTGCGGCTGCTGTGATACTCTTGCACCCTCTGCTGGCTAATCTGTTGAAGATGTTGAACACATAAGGATTGAGTTAGCTCTGTCTTTTCCTTCTCAGGTGGGCATTTGCTGCTCTTTGAGTAGCAAATACGGCGGGAGAGGTTGTGAAAAGCGATGAAACATCAAATAATTCGGTATTTCCCTGAAACTGGTGTATTTGTCTTTTTTTTTTTAACTTACTAGATTATGGCAAACCTGACTAGTCTGTTTATAAACACTGGCACTTGTGACAGTGTTAATGTGGCTAATAACTCAGATTCACATGTAAGATGGTGAGAAGCACGTGCGTTTCTGAGGCAGCTTGTGCACTTCTACGCACGTATGCAGCTGCGGTTGCCAGAAAGCAGATGTCTGCCCAGGCTATCTAGTGTATTATCTAGAGAAGTGTACGAATGACTCTGACTGCAAAGTACATTAACTCCATGTATTAATTAAGAAGATACCGTGACACTCAGTCAACAGAATTTCTGCATTCCTATTTATGTCAAATTGGGTGGGTTTACTTTTTTTTTTAAAGGCACATGAGTATGTATAACTTATAATTATATGCTTGTTCGGAAACAGTTTTCTACATAAGTTCTGTTGAATATGGAGTAGTACTTACGAAGTTGCATCCTGATCATCAGACATCTGCTGATACCAGATAACCAGTGTGATGTATCCCTGCCTGATTGCCTTTTACACCACTTATCGGCAAGTATATTGATGAATACAGAGGTGCATACAATCTCTGTACTTACCAGTTTCTCATTTTAAAAGTATGTGAACTATCTAGGAAAGGCATGTACCACAACTGGAGAATAAAGGGGCTCCATGACACTGTTACGTAAAAAAAAGTGCATCTTTTCCTGCTTTATGTAATACCTAATTATGTTAGCATTATGACTTACTTGTCATAGCTGTTTCTTTTGTTATACGCAGAGCTGCCCAGTTCTCTGGAGTAGTATTTACAGTAACATCATCTGTCAGAAAATTTTTAATTTGCTATTAAAATCTTTCAAGTTCATCTTAGACCATCTTAAATTCTGTAAGACTACTCCTTAATGTCTAATTTAGACCATATTCTGCCTCATGCTACTGAAAGAGATCATGAGGTCCTCTTGTGGAAAGTCAGGTCTGTCAGTTTTTTGAGACGTTCATGTATCTCTAGCTGAATGTGAAACTCTTGCTTCCCCTGAAAGTTGTGCTTTCAGATGTAAACCATAATGTTTCTTTGTGAAAGGCATATGACCTTCATATTCAGTGCTCATAGTGATACTCTTAATGAAGTTTTTATCCCCTGCATGAGCATTTACATAATTACATTAAATACTGATCACGTTCTATTGTGAAAAAGAATGTGTTATTCGTTCATGTACAGGAGACTGGACAGTTCTAATCCTTGGGAAGACATAGCTTAAGTAAAAGTAAATGCAGTAATACTTTGCATTTAACTTGCTTAAACCAATAGCTTCTTCTTTACATCTTGGGTCATGAATCTTTGAAAAGATTACTTGCTAGACTGTGTTTTATTAAATTTAGCAGTGCTGTAAATGTGCACATATGCCTGTACTGAAGGTATGGCTAGCACTATGACATTATCTCCTGCTTATAAAATTTTTAGGCCTCTGCATTTTCTAACGGTAATTACAATATCGGCTTATCTATCTTAATTTGCTAAGTTTAGAGATTTATATAAAATACAAGACTTTTCAGTTTACCTGAGTCAGAAAATTTCTTTATATCTGCAACCTGTAGGTCTTCTGACATATTACTAACAGAGTCCTCTTCACCTGTGTCTCCAGGCATTTCTGTATAAATAATGCTATGTTAATTAGGGCAGTGCATTTTGTACTACATAAGAACAGTTGTGCTTTGTCAAATCAAAAGATCTGTCCAACGTAGGATGCTCTTTATGCCAGCAGGCAGTAGTAGGTGCATTAGCAAAAAACCTAGAAACTGAAACTGAAGAGTGAATCTTCTCTCAAAATGCTTTCAGTTTTCAACCAGAGACTGTGTTATATTTTTCTTGACTTCTTCCATTACTTTACTAAATTCTAGGTTTACATTTGGCCACTGTAATATCATCCCCTGTGTAGAGTTTTGTGTTTAATTCTCTTCTGAACAACAGGCATGTTTGTGGTTACACATGCCAATAAAAAATGTTTTAATTCATCAGTCTACTCCAATTCTGCATTAATCCATCCATTACCAAGTTATTCATCAATAACCACAGAAAAAGAAAAGGCAAGCTCAGCCAGCATTCTTGGTGCTATTCCTTTTTGCTGTTTTCACAATAGTTGTCTCACTAGTTTGAGAGCCTTGCTCCAAAGGCCTGTAAAACTGGGCTATGGGGGACCATAAAAGATTGACAGATTGCATGTTAGTCTTCTAATCAAAGTCTGTAACTACAGACTTTGTTGCTCAATGTCTTCATTTTTCCAGTAACACAGTCTGACCATCAGTCTGATCCATTTTTTCATCTAAGCTGGAAACAGTCTCTTCTGCCATGATTTGGACTGAAATTGGTCCCTCTGTATCACTTTGTCTTATATTACATATTCATCTTTTCCCCCTCCTTTTGTTTCTCTGTTCCATTTAAAATATTTGGGGCAATCGCTCAGTCTGAAAGATTGCATTATAAAGTAAGACAAAACTACTAGACAAAATAGTAAGTTTCCATTCAGTGTTCTTGCTCCCCCCAGCAAATTGCTTAATCTACCTGGTTGCTTGGGGTAGGGAGGATTAAATGATATATGGGTAGCTGAAGTACTTACCTATGGAGTTCTTTTCTGATTTTGCTTCTGTCCCTTCTGGAGGCCTCTCACTTTCATCATTATGTGATTTACTTGCTTGTTCCATGGTGCTGTGGCCCAGAATAGCATCCAGTTCTTTAAAAAATTTCATACTTTTTCTTGCACTCCCTGAGTCTTGGGCACTTTTTACACTCTTGTATTCATGTTTCAGATTTTTGTATTTAGTCCTGCACTGCTTCCAGTCCCTGTCAATCCCGAACTTTTGAAGTCTAGCAGCAACCTGTTCGAATATTCTTTTATTTCTCACTGTCCCCTCTAGTTGTTGCTGGATATTTTTGTCTGACCATATGCGTATCAAAGCTCTGACTTCATTAACAGTCCAGTGTTTTCCTCCTTCATTTGCTACTGTTGGGATAAAAGTCGACGTTTTGGAAGCCTCTATTGCTGACGCTGGATTACCTGCATCGTGTGGGGTAAGGGAGAGACACAGATACAGGTTACCTGCATTGGGTGGTTGGGAAAGGACAGAGAGAATGAGAATGAAGTATGCAATTTCCTCAAGACTTGTCTCTCCAGAGAAAGACGGAGCAGAGGTGACATTAAAATAAAGCTGTTGGGTATTAATATGTCAGCATTTTTGTAAATTCTGACATTATTTCTGCCTTCTCTTGAAAACCAGTGTAAAGATAGCATATGTACCCTTAATTAATCTAAGAGGATTCTTTCTTTCTGGCGTGACCTAATACACTGAACTTTTACTTGTAACACATTTGAAAATAAAGGATGAACTGTTTTGTTGTTCAGACATTAGTGCTGCATTAGCACAGTAACAAACTGTGCCCTGAGTCACTGACACTAGCTCAAGACTTTCTGCATCCATGCCATGCTTTTGGTCTTACATGCAGAGATTTAAACTGGGTAAGGATCTGAAGAATCTGATCCTAACTCTTTAACAAAGCACCCTGTTTGTGGGGAGCTGAGGAATGGAGACTTTTGTCTTAAGCCACACAGGGACTGGTGTAATAATGAACCTGCTTCTTATGGTACAGAACCTTCACTATTCTCACTGCAGGCCAATCAAAATCATTTGGGTCTTTTTATAAGTAAAAATTAGAGTTATCTTACTCTGCAGAACTAAGATATTTTTAAATGTTCTCCACTCTTCATTTTTTTAATATTAGGGATAATGGATGCCCTGCGATTACTTAAAACACTGAAATATGATCTCTTACAGTTTTTTAGTGTTTCCTTGCTTCTAACTATGAATTATATTGAAGTGATAAATGCATTTGCCAGTGCCTTATTCTAAAAGTGCAAGCCAGGTTATGGGGGTTTGATACCTTATAGTCACCGAACTTTGTGTGATGGCAAAAATATCTGACCTTCGCTTGTACATACAGCCCCAGTGAAGCATACTTGTGCATAACTACCTGTCTGGGGACAAACTTGTCCTAGATAGAGGCATTCTTTGCTAGTCTCTGTAATTCATTCTACTTGGGAAGAAGCTGTACTAGCAGGTGTCAGTTTTTCCCTGTTATTTCTATGTTAATCAGGACTCTGCAGCAGCCAGCCCACTGATACGTTGTTGAGGAGGATAATTTTCAGGTGACATATCTATTATGCTTTCTTCATTTCTTCCTGAGGAAGTCAAAGAAAATGCTCCTTTACAGGTGAATGCAACCATAGGAACTGCCACGCTTGACAACTGCCAGCATCAGACAGGCTGGATGTAGTCTGTGCTCAGTGTTACTGGGAGTATTTCAACTATCTGCATTTCCACAATGGTTCATTCTTCATTGCCAGATAGAGACCAGAGAGAAAAGGCTCAGGGGAAGAAAAGAGGAAGAAGAATGCAGAAGGTGTTTCCTGCACTTCCAGACAAAGACTGTGGGGCAATCTGGGAGGGATCCTTTAGTTCTTATGTAGACCACTATTTCTCACTAGTAAATTCATTTGCAGTTGAGCTTACATTCCGTTGTGAATATTAGTCCAAATAACTTCTAGTGACTCAGTGTATTGCTCATTTGTTCTGCTATATTCAGAGTGGAAAACAGTGGCCTTTGCTTCTCTTTCCCTTTAAAAAACAGTGATTCAAAATATCTTACCCACAAACACCACTTTGAAAGGAAGTTATGATCACTGAAAATTTTCCTCAGGTCTCAAATTTAATTTAGCTCTAATTTGTTTAAAACAAAATTGTTATCACAGGGTATACGTTATTTTTTAACCTAAAAGATGTGTTTATACCATATCAGATTTTTTTTCTAAGCTTCCTCAAAATGAGAAATCTGCTGAAATGAAACCAAAATATTCAGCAATATAGATACAGAGGCCTCAAAGTTCTCTTTCAGCGGTGTCTGAAATAGTGCCTGAAATCTAAAGACTAAGAGAGGCACTAGGTTAAGACATTTTAGTTTCAATATGTACTTGAGAGCCCATGCAAACTGAAGTTAATTTGCTGGTTTCATAGAAAGCAGCTTTCTGAGGACTGAACGTATTTTAGCAAACAAAATGAATCTGGTTGCCAGTGTGTTGCAAGAGCAAGAGTGAGACAGACATATTCCTGTGAAATTTGACTCAGATTTTTAGTGCAAGAAAAGTTTTGTTTATATATAAATGGAAATAATTCCATGAGAGATTCTTGTCTCTTCCTTCGTTTCTTGTTATGCCAGGCAGGAGGCATATAGTGTGTAATGTAAAAGCCATAGGTTTAGGTGGGGCTTTGTTTTCTCCCTGAATATGGCACCTTGGAGATTAGTGAAGTTGTAACTGGACTGGGATGTATGCTGAGGCATAGAGGGTATATAAATATAGATATATATATAAATATATGTATAAAAATATATGGAAAGCATGAGTAGGAAATTCAGGACAGTGCTGCTCTTCATCCAGGCAAGGAATCAGCTCATTGGTTGCCTGATTCTGCCTAAAATGTTTAGGTTTCTCCATTTCCTTTAGCAGCCCCCTGAAGGGGCTCACACCTTGGATCTTTTTTCTCCTTCTGGCCTGCCAGATTTGTGCCTTTGCTCTGTAATGACTTTCTTGAGCAAAACTATAGGATGGTTTTCCTGAGCAAAACTGGAGGATGGCTGCCGAATAGGTTGTTGTATGTGGTTGGACTTAAGCATTGCTGACCACCCTTTGCTTGGAGAGCATTGAGAAATCTGCATTATTCAGTGGGATGGGTCTGACCTCTGCATCTTTCCTGACTCAGGCCATTCACTCATGCTTGTTTTAAGCAGAAATTACATGAGTTAGAGAAAATCCACAAGTTGACATGGGTATCACACACTACCATTTGGCATACTTTCCAGTAGCATTTAATAAAATTAATCTGATTAATATGATTAAGCTATAGCATGTGATGTATTTTGAATGTGAACAGTGGTCATGCAAGTGTTGCATCATGTACAGTGGTCAATACCTAGTGATGCATTAGACTGCAAGTGGTAAAACGAGATGGTGCAAAAAGTGTGGCTGTTTTAAAGTTATGTTGATGAGAAAAGGGAATGATGGCGTATTCAAGCTATTGGAAAGTGCTGCTTTTTAGGTTTTGATCTCTGTGACATTATACTATACCTAGTTGAACAGGTCTGACATGAGACATAAAAAGTAGTGGATCTCCTGGAGCATCCTCATCATCTTCTAAAGAAATTGATATTTCACCTGGGAAGGAAAGAGTTTTTAGATGAAAAATAAGTATGGACTAAATTAGCTTAAATTAATCGAAGTGAAAATGTCCATACACATTTGGAAGATAATAAGATTATTAACTTTGTAATCTCCACACTTAATTTGTATTTAAATTAAATTTTAAATTAATTTGGCTTGTCCCTACAAGGAGACAGAAGTTACAGGAGGTAAATGAAATTATTTTATATCTTGCAGATGAAGCCTGTTTGGAATGTATTTCAATATTCTTGTAGAAACTGACTCGATTCTAGTGACTTGTATGCTTTCTTGACTCAGTATATGGGTTGCGTAGCACATTAAAAGGAGTTTTAAAGTAGATAATGAAAAGTAAGAGACATACAAATAAAAATAGGCTTTGCACACAGATTCAGTTAACCGCAAATCCATCCATACAACCAAAAAAGTAAAAGAAAAATCCAAGAAGAATATGAAGATAACAAGAAAGTTCTGCAAAGAATTCTGGAAATCTATGAAATTCATTAATAGCATAGGGAAAGCATGAAAGCATTGCGACTAGAGAACTGCTTTTTAAACAAATGTAAGAATGCTGACAGGATTCAGTCTAACTTTTTTACAGTATAGCATTCCTACACTTGTTTAAAAAGTAGCATCATACCAATTTCTGTGTAAGTGTAGAAAGCAGCATATATGTCAGCTTCTGAATCAGCTTAATTTGCACGGAGGACAGACTTTTAATTTGTTCTATGGCAATGCATTGTATTCAACCTTCCATGCTGTCAGGAGATTTGAAATGCTGATTCACTGTACAAGAGTTGAGCTACTGTCAGCTCCAGCCAGGCAGGTCACAGAGATCAAAGCTGCCTTGTTCAAAGGTGCTGCAATAGTTCATCACAAGAACCGTACCGAGGTGCGGCTGGGATGCAGTCTGGTATCCTGACGTAGGTGAAACTGAACACTGCATTTGAAAACAGTGTCCTAAATCCTCCTGACTTTCAGCAGGGCTCAGAGTGACTCATGGATGCAGTGGCCTCATCTCCAACTGCTCCCAGCTGTCTGCCTAGCTTTCTTGGGAGGAGCTGCTACCCCCCTGCGGGCAGCTGAGGAGGGAAAGGTGTGCTCATGCCTTCACCTCTAGCGCCTGGACTGGCGTTTGACCTGCTGAAGTGTTGCAAAGGAGATTATGCGGAGGGGAAATTAACTCTGTTGGAAGGCTGCTGAGTGTGACCTGGGTCCTAGGATGAGCAGGTTTAATTACATTGTAATATCAAACAGAAACAAGTTACTATCTTAAGAACTGTTAACACACACACAAAAAGATGTTAAAATGTTTGGTGAGAAAAAACAAGCATCTGATGAGCAAAGAAGTTACTTGATAAGAGTACTTCACACTCATTTTAGAAAAGGTATATAAAATACTTGTTAATGACATCTTTAATGTTAAAGTCCAGTCATGGAAAATTACGCATGAGTGGCATTTTCAAGTCAGCATTTCTGAAGGATCTTTCTGGATTTCTAGTAGCGGTCTGAGTTTTGTACATAAGATAATATTGTCACTCCTAATGCATTTTTGCCCAGACTTGGTAATATTTCTGCAATATTGGTAATATTTCTGCTATGGTAAGGTGAAGGTCAAGGAAAGTGACCAGTGAATTAGTATTTAAACATAAAGAGAGAAATATCAAAGAGTATAAGTCACTCAACATGAATTACTAAGTGAGCTTAACTTTTGCAAATCATGTACTAGATTTACTTATACTTGATTTTTGGAACAGGCAAAACCGGTTAAGGAAATGGAAAGGTCATTCATTTGAACTCTAATGAAAGATACCATTTCTGATAGTTCACCATCACTCCACATGCATTTTCTTTGTTGTTGGTTACTAGGATAATACACAAATTAGGTTTTAAGACAGGTGAAAATGTTGACTTTTACCTGTTATAACTAGTATTTAAACTACAACTGTGCCTCTGAAAACATGTTTTGGGAGGACAACATGGACACCTCTGGCTTGCCCTGCTGACTGTGCTTATGCAGAAAGTGTCATCTTCCATGAACGAGCTGGGAATTAGTGTGTGTATTGCTACCACATTTGTGCTGAGACACCTCTCTCTTAGATTTGTGATTTTCAGTATTAATTTATTCAATTACACTTTCAAAAGAAAACTCATTTTACCAGATATGAAGAAAAAACTCAAGTAAACACTAAAGAAATACCATTCAGCCCCATAAAAGTAGTCTGTTTTTAACTCTCTTCCCTTTCCTCTCCTCTCCCTCCCAAGGAATCTTAGCTTTACATTAAGGATGGATATGAGTATTTTGCTGAGGCTAAGCAGAATGGTAAAAATATAGTCACTTCTTTGGGAGCATGCCCTGTCCCTTGTCGTGCTTTTTAAACAAAACAAATTAGTATAGCTCCCGAGTTCTTCAAACAAAATGATACATGCATGGTGGACAGTATTGTTCCGCACAGGTTTTAGTTTGATGACAGTATTTTGTTCTTGCTACCCAAGTCACAAGCCTAGACATCCCTGATTCCTCCAGCTCTGTCAACATGAGGAGACTCAGCCTCTCTTTAAAGAGGGGAGGGACGATTTTCCCCCCTCTCCCTTAAGGCTCTGTGGTTGAAAGGGAGGAGCCCAGAAGGGAACCTGCAGGGACAGAAATGTACTTTGGTCTGTCTGCCTGAGGGATGATGATACCCACATTAAAGCAGTCCCCTTCCTTCTGACGATCTGAGGAGGAGCAGCTAGGTCCACTGCTGGGGCTGTGGCAGCAGGCTGCCTTTGCCTCTGCTGGGAATCACGTTCCTTTCCATGGGAGCAACATAAGGAATTGTGTTCCCTTCTGTGGGAGCAACACTGTCAGATCTGCCCCCACGAAAGAACTTGTGAGCATCAGCTGCAAACCCACAGATGCCATGTTAGCCATACAAGTGCCCTTCAAAGTACTGGGCTGGGCAGACACTGCAACTCCGACTGCAGTCGGAAAAGGACTGGTCCTCTAGTACTGCAATTACTTGCCTGACCTGTATTCTTAAATGAAGCAAGTTGATGTTCTCACAGCTCTTCTCTCTGCCCCTTGTTATGGTTGTATGCATCCTTCATAGCTGCAAGACACACTTCTATCTTAGTGTATTTTCTTTGTGTCTGAATTAGGGTTGTGAAAATCCTTGCATTTAAATTCTTGTACTATTATTACAGTTAGTTGCATTTACATTTTTGCTCATTCTTTCATTTGGGATTTTGTTTTGGTTTGTTTTTTAAGGGAGGAACAGAAATGCTTATGCATTTAGGAGAGATATTTAATTATACCAGTTTTAGACCCAGACTGTCCTAATACTTCAAAATTAGGTGTGTCTCAGCCAGGAGTAATTTTTTTTTAACACATATTGTAGTGTGGGATTCACAACTGAAATTAACCTTTTCTGATTTAAATTTGCTAGAGACCTAAGGCAGATGCGAATTGGGATTAACAGTTGGTGCAGACTACACTGAAACACAGATGGTAACCTAAGGGCAGATCCTCAGATGAAGGACACTATCTTAGTTTCATGTAACAGCTTGTATTGGCCTCAGTTCTGCAAGTTTAAAAATAAAAGTGGATTGCAATACACTGTGCAGAGAGCACATGGTAAAAAAATTGCCATTTTAATTTAAAGTGACTTTGACAGATTAGAGGCTTTCTGCTGGCGATGACAGATTAAGGTCAAGCTTTTCATTAAGGTAAACAATGACAAGAAAAATGGCAATTTATTTTACTCAGACCTGTAAAACAGTATTGTAGAGGCAGACGTGGAAAGGTACTAGAGCCAGTCAGATGTCCAGCTCCTGTCCGTGCCTTTGGCAGTCCCCCTGATACTAATGTTGAGTTTTTTGTTTTCCTAAAAAAGATTCACAGTCTTAATGTAAATTGCCACGTACTGTGGGAACAAACAGCTAAGCTTTTCGTTTCTCTTTTTAGCCATGTTATTTTAGTACTTATAACTATTATTGGGGCTTATGCTTCAGTGACATTTAGAATGCGACAAGGAGATCTGAGTGATGTCAAATAGCAGATTGACCCTAATGAAATGTTAAGCACAGCTTAAATGCGTAGGTAGAGAGGGCTGAATAAAACAAGAGATGCAAATAGTCTGGTAAAAGCTCCTTCAGAAGAAAAGCAGTTGTATTCATTTGGTTTGCCTCAAAATAGTCTGATAAACATGATGATTTTTACTTCCCTCGCTGTATTACAATTTTTAATGAGACATTATTAAATATCCCTCGTTTCTCAGATATTTAAGTTGAACTGCTTACAAAATAATTTAATTTACCTTTAGTCATCCTACGTAAATTTTCAGTTACAGAGAAATAGGAATAAAAATCCTAAATTTCACTTGTAACACAAATAACAATTTTTAAACCCCTCATGACAGCTTCACCCTTGACTCTTTAAGTTTACACCTGAATTGCAGCTCTACAAAACCTGCTTCCCAAGTACTGCAAACAGAAAGAAAACGGCTTTTCTTAATTCAATGTTTCAACTGGGTGCAGGAGCCTTGACAGGAGCCAGCACTCTCCGAGGCTGCAGTACAAGCCGTTAGCATAATTTTGCCAGAATTACGCTGTATTTACAGACTTCGACACTGGTGGGTGCTAACATTTTATTCCCCTGCGTGAGGAGCTCATCAAGTCAGTTCAAACCCTGCTGTTGGGGCTGCGCAGCCTCCGCTTCGGCTCCAGCAGCAAACTCAGGCTTCGGTTTTGTTCCCTTTGGGTGTTTAGCAAAGAGAGAGAAATAGAAGCAAAAAACCAGGTTTTTACCTTGCGTGCTCTCGGCTGTGGGGCTCGTGTTCAGCTGCGCCTCAGTCACAGAACCCATGCCGTTCTCTTCTGCCGCTAATTGTGTGACAGGTTCATATCGCAATATGGCATCCAGGTCATGGAAAAACTTCATGGTTTTAGTGACATCCCCAGAGTTGTGGGCATATTTAACCGTTCTGTATTCATACTTGAGGTTTTTGTACTTTGCACGGCACTGTTTCCAATCCCTGCAAACTCCTAACTCCTGCAACCGTTTAGCAATGTAGATAAATATCCCTTTATTCCTCAGGGTGCCATGGAGTTGCTTTCTGATGTTTTTTTCTGACCAGACGCTTAACAAGGCTTTAACCTCCTCCTCAGTCCAATGCTTCCCTGCTCCACTCTCCATGTTGAAAGTGACCTGGAAATGATTCACTATTTCTAGCCAAGATTTTGTTTCCTAGGAAACCAGGCGGCTGGTTGTCAGTAAGCTCCACCGAGATGAAAGGATCTAGTTCTACTGGCTCAAGCTGCCTGAGGGGAGTAACTTGAGAAACTGCCAAATAAGCGGGCTAGGCGCTGGATCCCGCGGGGAAAAGCCGCTGGGGCGGTGTGGCAGCGTTAACCCTTCTGCGGGAAGGGGCTGCCCTGCCAGCGCTGTCCTCTGTAATCCCAGGACACAGGGAATACAGAGGGTCACGCTATCTTGCGCCTTAAAACACACACACACACACATGAAAAGAGCCCCCTAAAACCCATTCGTGCCTGCCCTTGGTGGGGTGGGTGCTGCGGCAGCTCCCGCCTCCCGCGGGATAACAGCTGGGAACTATGGGGCAGAGCTGCCAGACAAGCTGCAATGGTTGATAAGACACTGATGTGGATGGGGTCATCCTGCTTTGTGTTTATTCTCAGCTGGTTTTGAATTGGTGGTCATACGTGCACATTTTAAACTCTAATATTCACTGGTTATTACTGATACTTAATGCAAAGCTTGCATACTTCAAAATCTAGCTGAATTGATAACATTGTATGAACTTTGAGCTAATGATATTGAGCTTCCTTCTGTTTCATTAGCACTACATGAAAGGCATAACCCAATGACTTGACAAGGGCCTTTGACTTGCGTGGGCCTTTGCTGGGATGGTTGCTTCCCTCTTTCTCACTACTAATTTTGTTGATATTTAAAGTGACAGTGCCAGTATTTAAATAGAAATTGCCTATAATATTAACATTGGAATTAAAAGTTGCTGAATGCTGTGTGTCAGCCTTTAAAGTTTACCACCCATCTTTGTATTTATAGACAAGACATCTTCCTGAGTTAAAATAAACAGGTTTAAGAATGTCTTCTATCTCTGATTTTCTCTTGAAGGTCTGTGTCAATAACAGGGTAAATTCATTCAGTTTGTCTCGTTTTGCTTTCTGCAAGCAAATGTTCTTTAAAATTTTGCTTTATGTACAGCTGGGGCTAGTGACCAATTTTAGGTCCATTAGTGACCAATTTTAGGCTCTGGAGAAGATTCATAGTGAGCATGGCCATTCTGTAGATATATTTGTGCCCAATTTTATTGTTGCTTATGCTAAATAATTCCAGTGACACTGGTTGAGTTAAACCAGTCTAATGCACAAGCAGCATCTTCATCTAATATGCTAAAAATACCCCATTTCCTTTTTTAAGAAAAGCATCTTTGGTTTTCAGTCATTACATATGGGAGTGGATGGCAGCTTAGCAGTCCCCCAAAGTCCTTAGGAGAGTTACAGGCACAGTGGGCACATGGCAGCAGTTTTGTCAGAGGTAACACTGCCTTTCTCCAGAAAGCCTTTTAACAGGAGATGGAGTGGCCTGCACTGTTACCCACAAACAATCAGTCTGCAAAGCATACCTTCCCAATGGATAGGGACTGAAATACAAGCCTTGGGCAGCCATGCAGTACTCTGCCTGCTTCCGGCAGCACAGCTTGGGGGGGGGGGCCCAGGCAGGCTTGGGGAGGGCTGGGAGCAAGCTGGGAAAAACGCTGCCATCCCAGCTGATACAGCTCTTGTGAGCAGCAAAGCACAGCTGCCAGCCTGAGGGTGATCTGTAAGAGAAGTATTTCCATTTGCAGTGACACCGTACACCAGACTTGTTTTGCTTGAGTTCAGAAGCTGTGATGCCCGATACTAGCTTTATGTGCTCAAATGCTTTTATCGGAGTGTGCATATAGCTTTTAGAGGTGTAAATGCTAGCTTGTCTTCTTAAAGGCAAGAATGCAAAAGCTTTTCTGCAGAGGTGATCAGTGGAAGACACAATGTGGAAGACACAAAGCCATGAGTTTCTTAATACCTCTCCCTCCACCACCCCCCAAAGCAGAAATAGAGTATCACTGTTGAGCCTACTACTACAGCCTAGACTACTATCACTGCAAAGTGGCTTTTCAGATTAAGCATCTGCTGTTATTTTATGCCCACACTGAAATAGGACTGCAGTAAGAGCCTGAGCCAGTGCTTATTAGTGGAAGGAGTCCTGCTGAATTCAGTGGGCTTAGGCACAAACCTTATGTGACTGTTTTGAAATGAAGCATAACATGGGCAAGAAACCAGTTGTAATTACAAGCCTGTAAAATCAAGTAACAAACAGGCATACATTAAAATTTCATGTTGTAAAGAGTAGATGAGAAAACACCAATTCACCGTATGTTAAAGCATTTCATTCTCAACATTTCAGTGCTTTATGTTAATTTTATTTTGTCCATAGGGGCCAGGAGAGTGCTGGAATTGTGACAAGTGATGGAGAGTCATCCCAGGCATTCAAAGTGCACAAGGTAAAATGTAAATTAATGTTTTTTAGATGCCAAGCCAAGATGCATGAAGGTTTGTTTCAGCTAGGAAACAGAATAATTAGGAATTAACATGTTATGACGGGCTGTTTTGTTTTGTCAGTAACAGTATTTGTTATTTGTGCAGTTTCTGTCGTGATGTTTGTTTAGTGATGTAATGTTTAAAACAAATACGCCAACATTATCCTGTATCAACATTATGTTCTAGTTACAAAAACTATTTACCAAAGTCACCCTGCACCTAAGGCGTTAACTCTGGAGATCTGAATAGCAGCAATGCAACTTGAGATGAAGAGGAAAGAAATACAGTTACAGGCTATGCACAGGCAAATGGAGAACTAATTCTTGCGTTAGTGAGACTCAAGGAAGTGGCAGCTTTACCCATAGGTAAAAATAAACAGAATAAAAGATAGCCTTCATTCATTCTTCAGCTGAGGGAATCCCAGGGAATGTTAAAAGACATAAAATGGCCATAGCCTCAAAAGTACTATGTAATGCTCTGGGGATATTTCTGCTCATTCTGTATTGAACAGTGATCAGGAAGAAAATAATAATCAGCCTATTCAATCCTGGAAGAGGAGAAGATTGGAAATAAAACTATATCACAGAATAACCATGGGGCAATTCTTGATGTGTGTCCTCCAACCACAATCAAAAAGCAGTTCATCTTCACGACCAGAGGTCTCTGGGGAAGATTAAGATTCAAATCAGCCCAAGACTAAGACTGCTTTGCTGCATCAGTATGTGTATCTATGAATGTCTGCTCAATGCATCATGCAAAATCTTGTCTCTTCAGGCAACATGTTTCTCACCTCTTTCGGCATTTCCCCCCGCTATCTGTTACTTACAGTCTGAGTCACACACGCACATACACACACTTTTGAATGCAGCTCTTCTCAACTTCAGCACCATGTTGTCTGTTCTTCATTCCTGCTCCTGCTTGGGTTTCAGCTTTCCATAAGGTTTCTAGTAATTTCAGCTTCCTTTAAAGGGGGCTGCTTTATAAATCCTATAGTAGAAAGTATTTCTTAGAATGAACTTCCAGCAGTGTTTCCGTGTTACTGAGCTGCAACACTTAGCTGTCACACTAAGAATTTAATTGACTATATGATCATATTAGCTTTGATATTTTAAGAGTTGCAGAGCATGTGATGATTTCTTTTATCCTTGCAATATGCTCATCAGCTACAGCTCTTTAAAAACTGTAATAACCACAGTGTAACAAAGAGCTTGTGGAATACAATTTGCATGACTTGTTTAATCCTGGAAGTGGTGCTAATGTAACAAACATTTGGGTCTGTTACACTGGTGAAAGTATATTTAGGACTCTGACTTGTAAACTAGTCCATAAAAATGTCAGCAGTTAGGATGCTGCTGTACCTGTTTGTCTTCCAAACCCTTTTTGACTCTTCATAGCAGAGACAACAGAATGGAAAAGGTGCCTGCTTCTCACTTCATCAGTTTACTCATTTTTGTCGACAGCTTAAGGCAGTACAATAGAGTATGAACTGGAATGCCCAAGGCATGGGTATGTGTTCCCTTGTGATTGTTGCCAGCCTATGACCACAGATTGATAGCCCTTTACAAAGGACATTAATCTGTAGTTTTAATACCTCCCAGAAGGAATCATCCAGATTTGTCTGTCAGAGACTTTCAGCTAGATTTGTGTAACAGAACATTATTGTCATACTGTATTAACCAGCTCAGGATGTGGGAAAATTTACATCTCTTGTATAGACATAGCGATGTGAGAAGGAGAAAGACAGACTGACTGTTTCACACTTGGATATACAGAACAATAAAGAAGCTTTGTATAATACAGGCATAAAATTGTCTTCATTGGGAGTTTTTTATACTGGTGTAATTCACATTCACCATCCCACACCAGCATAGTCTAAATCTGAGGAATATTTCAGATGGCAATTAAAAGATTATGTACTTGTGTAACCAAATCTGGTTTAAAAAAACATTGCTTGTTTAAGCTATTGCAGTGCTTAACTTGGCTACATCAGTTAAGACCGGACCTGTCAGATCTCCTGTCAGGATAAAGTTGACCTAAGTAAAATAGGAGTGCATGACTGCATTTCTGTACATATATGAGAACAAAACACAGACTTTAGACCACCCTTTATTTCATCTGTGAGACAAGAGATAATAATTTATTTGGCATAGAGTTTGTTGACTCATTAAAGCAAGCTTATACCAGTTCAACTGTTGAGGCAGTAACATTTTAATGTAAGTATCCTAAAACCACATGTGTAACCATAGCTTCTTGGTATTCCAACTCCATAGCAGTCACAGCAGAAAATACCCTAAAGCTGAGCTTTCTTTAAGCTTTTTTGGTTGAGCTCTGAAAACAGTTCAACCAATTTCTTTCCTTCCTGTCCCATCCCAATCTCTTGTCGTTGTACCTGCAACACAAGTTATGAACCATTCACAGCTTTGGACCTTTCCTATGTATCTTTGAAGGTCCTAGAGGAGCGTTATGTGTACTGTTGTGTGTATCACAATTACCACGCACGACAGGGAAACCAAGCACTAGAAGGATGTAAGTATTTCCCACAGGCAGTGGCAGAAGCAGGAGTTTGTAGGAGGGCCTGGAATCCAGTCT